AAGATTTTTTATCGTAATCTTATATATAACTGATATTTCAACTAAGTAGGACTTTTATCCTTCGTTAATAATGGAATGCTCAATGAACGATACCTATGAAAGCCTGATAATTAATTGACAGGGTTATTTCATCGACTATGAATCATACATGTGAATTAAACGTTTAACAAATTTAAACAATTTACTTCAATTACTCAATTTTTAATGTTCCAGTAATGCCATTTTAACAAAATAACACCATGATCTCATTTTGTTACACGACGTCCATTTTGTGTAGGTATGAAGTCTAAACCATATCGCGGTTTCATAGTGTTTGTATTTAGTTTTATTGACGTTTCGGACCCTTTACAAGGGGCCAATTCTACAAAATAAATTTTAAATTTTTCTATTTTAGCTGGAATTGCATCGTATGTCACTTAGTAGAATAGAAAAACCGTTAAAAACTGTAATTTCGTTCGGTTTCAATCCGTTTTCGAATCGATTTTAACAAAATTTATTTAGTAGAATTAGTCCCCTGGTTCCGTGTTCACATAAGTCTAAGGTGGCGATTATATTTTCAATGAGAAAGTATTAAAAAAAATTAGTTCCCGAAATCAAACTATGTAGATGTCGCTACGGTACGTTCCTGATTTCTCCATGACAACCCTTCCGGTTTTCTTTCATGTATAAAAGTAAATTAGTTTTCAAAACTCAATAAACAACTCATATTATATTTGTGCTTTTTCGTATTTGAATTGATATCTAAGTTTCGAACTTTGCAAATTTCAGTTTTTAATGTGTTAGTTCAAAGGAACGGATATGGCATGTTTGATCGATCGGATCGATTTCCTGCAAAAATCAACTTTTGCTACAGTCGCCATTTAGTGGAGGTGCTTTTTAGTGCTTTCTTTTTTTAAATACTTCCTCATTAAATTTATTGTTTCATATCGCGAACTAAATTCAAGTAGTGAAATAACGAATATCGACAACATGACATTTTAATTTAGTTAATCATCAACCCTATTAAACCCATTGTTGGGGCACAGTTTCTCTTTTTTCTCTTTAGATTAAATCGAATCATATCAAATAGAGTGAATTAATTATGACTATGAATTATTGGCATCCCCAATATAAAGTACTAGCTCGGTGGCGTAATGAGTAAGCGCCGCTGCCCGAGATCGTTGTTGTTAAGCAACTTTCGCAGAATCGCTCACGAGATGGGTTACCAAAAAAATCTTATCTCGTGCTATTCCGCGCTTCGGAAAGCACGTTAAGCTGTTGGCTGTTGATTGAGGTACTGCATTTGCAGTCGTTAATATCCACCGATCCGCATTGGGCCAGCGTGGAGGGTCACGGCCCATCCTGTATAACTATCCATAAGGAAGGCTGAGACACAGTAGTGGGGATGTAAAAAAAGATAATTCTTAGCTTGGATTCACATACCTATAGGCTTCTATTTATCCCACTTAACAGTTCCATGGGGACTACGCGGACGAAGCCGCTGGCGAAAAGCTAGTTTTATATTAAAGATTGTTTCTGCTTCATATTTTGTAAACAGTATACAATATACAAAACTATCACAATTCTCCACTCGATTTAAAATTTTAACGCATTGATGCTAGAGTTTGAAAAAATTTTATAAACCAGGTATAATTTCGGTAATATTTCGAACCGAATAGTTTCAGTAATTTTGTGAGTAAAACTAGCAATAGGATCAACTATATTTGCTTACACCTCTGGCAAATAACACAGCAGCAAATTAGGTTGATGCAAAAGACCAAATTGCAATCGATTATAAACTTTACTGTTTCAAGATTAAAGCTTGAAATTGATTGGAGAAGCGGTTTGTAGTAGCCTCTCATAGTAGTATGATTTTAATGCTAGGCGTGTACACACACTGTACCACATTAGTACCTACTGATGTTTATTTTCAAACGAATTGAGGGCAATTCGTTGTACAACGAATTGCCATTAAAATTTCATAATTAAAATAAATTCTGATTGAATTATAATTTTCCTTCGATATTCCAATTATGAGATTAAAAAAATTAAATGTATTAATTAACTTACAAATAAACTTTTTACTTATATTTTTTATATACCTTTTACGTGTCAATCAAAACAACATATTATTCTCTACTAAGGTAGCTTATGAGCTAAAATAGGAAGGAATTAATTCACAGAACCAAGCATAAGTTTAAAAGTTGTTTTCCCACAAATACCTACATAGTAAAACTGCAATACATAATATGCAGATTTACAAAAGACAAAATCAATACATCCCTGCCCAGCTTCCGGAACGTCTAGTCTAATCACTATATTATTTTAACGCTGACGCAATGCAGAAAATACTGACTAAACTATAGGAAAACACCCACTGTTTTTTTTAATAAAAAAAGGTTTTAACACTCAAACTATATGAACATTACGTTTAAAAAGCGAATACAGCATTTAGGTTAGGAAAACACCGGCAGGCTACAGTTATTCAGGGGAAATTATAAAAAATATGCGCTACTGAGCGAAGCGGGTGACGAGGAAATAATTCTGGAACGGCAGGCGGACATATTGAAACTCAATACGCGCCTCCAGCACGTGCTAACTAAACCACCATCTATCACAGGCCAAAAACGTCAAGCCATTAAAAAAAATGCTGAAAAAGCAAAATCAAATAAAAACTTTACCGGTAACGTATAGGAGCTCGTAAACATAACACACTGTCACTAATGCACGTGTTCGAAACTCGAAAAATTCCAAATTCACTGTCACCGCGAGTTCCGTTTATTTTTCCCAAAATGGGCGTTCGGTCTTTGGTGGTCCTTACCAATGAACGTCCCGATACCGCGATTTCTGTTCGGATGGTTTTTGAAATGACGAAGCGGCAGTTGGCGGCAGACTGAGGCGGGCGGCGTTTTCGTTAGCGTTCGGCTGTTTTCGGACACCTTTATATTTAGAATTTGGCTCTCTCCCCGGTTTTATATAGCAGTGAGTACATCGTATAAAGCGTATTCGAGATGCGGTCGCCGTCAGTATATATATAGGGATTACGACTTTTTATTAAGCAGTACATTTTTGCATTCATCGAATGACTGAAATTTTTGGGCGTATATCATGATGATACATTTTTAGATGGAATCTCTGTATGAGATTCGGTATTGCTTTTAAAGGCATCAACCTAAAACAGATTTGGAAAAAGATAATCCCCACATTATTGTGACCGTCCATTAGTTCGACACAGAAGGTTAAATAAGATGTGCTTACGTACGTGCGTCTGTTAGGTGCGGGCATACAAAGTGGACGTTCACCTTAATTCCTCAGCAACCATAAGAGAAATGGTACGGACTAACCCCTTATACATGCTGATTTTGCATTTTAAATACAAGTATTCGTGTAAAACAAAGGGAATAAACCTGTCTAATTACCTAAATGCGCTGACTAGAAATTCTATTTCTTTAAGAAAATTACCTATTCTCCATAATGACCCGGACAGAAATCGGACGCTAGACCCCGCAGACCATTGGTTTCAAGGCTTGAAGTGTGGGGCTTGAAATTACCACTAAGATCGTGGTCGAATCTGTGACATCGTTTAGTTTACATCGAACATAGACTTCTAATACCACGTTCATTTGATAGAGATTGTGTGTATGGTTTATGCAATATCTATATGTATGTAAGTTTCTTTATTCCACCATAACTTTGCAAATGTCATTATTTTTAAAAATATTCAATATGTCGGATGTTAAAAAAAATATGAAAGAACTTTAATTATATCAATATATTTATCAAATTATTAGTTTTGATGAGTAGATTCCAATTATATAATTTGAAAGGAAACTCAATGAAAAGAATAAAATAAAAAAATTTAAAATTATATAACACGACTGAAAAAATCGAAGTTGTTGAGCAAAAAAGTTGTATTATGGCTTGGTTATCAAAATTCTCATGGTAGAACCCGTGAAACCCATTCTGTAGAATATTTGTAATGAGTAGGTATTTAAAAAAAAAGGAAAGCACTAAAAAAGCACCTCCACTAGATGACGACTCTAGCAAAAGTTGATTTTTGCAAGAAACGAAAGGACCAAAGACAGTCATTTCCGTTCCTTTAAACTAACATATCAAAAAACTGAAATTTGAAAGTTCGAAACTTAGATATCAATACAATTACGAAAAAGTACAAATAGAATATGAGTTGCTTATTGAATTTTGAAAACTTATTTACTTTTAAACTTGAAAGAAAACCGGAAAGGTCGTCATGGAGAAATCATCTCAATCTAGTTTGATTTCAGGAACATTTTTTTTTAATACTTCTCCCCGACCGCAACTGCGACAGTGAGAATTTTGTTTAGCGAAGCCATAATACAAATTTTTGCTTTATTTTTAGTTCTATTTTTGAGCCCCAAGCAATTATTATATGCTCCTGGAGCCATAACTAAGTATAATAAAATTATATAGGTACGACAAAACTCTAGCTTACATGGATGGACATCAACAATAGCCTAGTAACCTACATAAAACTTCTATGGACTTTTTACTTTATATGAAAATCTCAGCATACGAGTAATAAGTCAGTGTCATAGAAATTAAAAGCATTTATTAAGAAATTTGGTACAGAGACAGGTTAAGAGTAAGCTGCACAAACGTTAAATTATGTTTAATGACATCATTAAGCTCTATTGAATCTCAAATTTGTATTGTTTATGTCGCGTTAAACTAGAGTTGAAATAGGGAATAACAATCTATAAGGAAGTTCGTCATCACAACTATTTAAGTCACTATCGAATGAGTAGTTTCTTTTTTTGTAAATACTTCCTCATTAGAAATCGAACAAATTTAACATATTTAAAAGTATTTCCCGTAAACTAGAGATTTTCAAAATTTTTCTAGTTTGATATTTTTATATTTATTTGTCTTTAACAGCGTCCAAAAAATTATTATATGTAGTTATATTTCTAAGAACATGGTCCCTTTGCTTTCAATTAAAAAAAAAGTGACATTGACATTCACATTTCACTAGGTTGTCGTCTGTCAAAAGAACAATAAAAACATTGGCAGAGCTACATAATTTATTATTTTCTTGATGTTTATCTAGTTTATTATTATAAGAAGGCTATTTTTAGAGCAAATAATACCCTTCCATTATGTCAATTCAACAATAGCCTAGCAGAATAATAACAGATTGACGATTTGGTGCTACATAAAGTATCAATACATAATGTTCAACCCAGATATTAACGATTACCAATTGACTTCAATTATAACAGAGTGCTGTGGTGGAGTTGCTGTAGTTTATTCAGCTTTATATAAACCCACAAATCAAAATGTCGCTCTAAAAAGATATTTTGTTGATAAAACCAAGGAGAAAGCTGCTTTGATTCAGGTAACTTTCAGATAAATAATTCCTTAAAAAAGTAATTATTTTGTTGTCTTACTGTCACAATACCTATTTTAAAATGATAGTTCAAACAATTATTGTTATTAAGGTAATTTGAGACATTTAGATGTAGATAGTGTCTGAGAATTTAATCTAGTACCTAAATAAAGCCAATAATTACCTAACTATAGATCTTGAAAGGTGACTATATGTTCTAAAAAGTTTGTTTGTACATGCTAACTGCAAGTTCAGAGGTTCTAGAGGTTCTAGGTATCTTTAACTAATATCAGTCACTTCTTAGTACACTATGAAATTCATTTATTTATGTTTGTAATTTCAGCAAGACATAATGACAAGAAAAGAGTTGCAACATCAGAACATATTACCATACCTTACCTCGTTTGTGAATGGTCGTGAACTGTATGTGGTCTCTCCTTTGATGACATTTGGATCTTGCCGAGATATCCTTGACCGTTACTTCCATGAAGGTTTGCCCGAACTAGCCTGTGCCATTATATTGAGAGATATCTTATTGGCCCTTCAGTATTTACATAAGCAACTGTTTATTCATAGGTAAATAAATCTTGGTTATTTATTACTTTTTCTATTGAAAACATACAATAAAAAAAAGCTGGCTTTATAGAGGGAGAAACCTGGTAACTGAAAATGAAAGAGCTTAGTTTACTACTAAGCTCAGTGTCAGCTTCCAGTCTTCCACTACTTGAATTGGCAACAGTAAAATTAGTTCTTTTTCTCAATTGTAACTTAAATCTAAGTGTGGAAGAAAAATAAATTATTATTATTATTCAACTCATAATAAATTACAGAACTAGAATAGATCTACTATTCTACAGCATATAATATTTCAGTATATCATATTTACAACTAAAAACTTTTTAAAGCAATACTAGCTTTCATCTGAGATCCCTCATATGGAATGATTTTCTTGATATTGTTAATAACCTTCATAAGAGTTTATATGTAACCATGTTTCTAGCAAAATAAATTATTATTATTATTATTATATAATGCCATTATGTTACAAAACCATAATTAGGTACTTTTGTACAAAATTTTCCTTGGAAATACCATATGTCTACCACATCTTAATGTCATCTATTTAAACTGACAAACATGGCAAAGGAACTTTATAACAAAAAAAAATTTTTTTACATCAATATAGAGCTGAAAAATGCTTAAGTAGTATGTCATTGAAATAACTGGCATTCTTTATCTAGGGGTCTATTTTATTACTATAGTTTTTTAAATCATAAAGCAGTCCTATACCAGAACCAGAAGGTGTACTATAGTTATGATAACTAATTTTTATTTATGTATAGTATTTTATTTTGCGAAAGGTCGTGGATTAGGGTCCCATCACAGAGTACCAGGGACAAAGATTTTTTTAAGCATTTTTCATTAAGGATAAATGTTATTTCTTTTTTCGTCAGTTAAATTATTGAAGAAAATATATAAATTGTTTTTTTATTTGTTGCTTTGTTTTTTTGTATTTGTAATCAATAAATTACAGCGTTACATTAAGTTGAAATGTCGCATGACGTCACACCTTTATACATTTTCTACCTAGTCACCTAGTCGTGACGTAGCGAGCCACACTCCTCAACTTTAAAGCATCCATTCTATCTAAGCCATTTCTTGTTAAATTGAACTTAAAAAATAAATATCTAGTATTTTTCTTTATCGTTTCGGTATACAGAAGTGTTCGTGCTAGTCACGTGTTAGTGGGCGCTGACGGGTTGTCCCGCCTGTCCGGTCTGCGCAGCGCCGCGAGCCTGGCGGTGCGCGGGCGGCGCGCGCGGCTGCACCGCCTGCCGCCGCCAGACCACGACAACGCCAACCTCATGTGGCTCAGCCCCGAACTACTCGAGCAGGTTCACATTTACATTACGGCAACTTTTAATGACTATCGTAGACCAAATTCATAATCAAACGATAATAAAGGGGGGATTTGAAAAATAGTTTTGAAGTAGAAGTTAACACCGATGCCAGATAAATGAATGACTAAACTGATGTATAACACAAATGTGGAATGACCAAAATGAATGATCATGTACTGTCGGATGGTGTGTCAGAAGTTATAAAAATCGGTGGGCAAGTATGAAATGAATAACGTAGCGGTAGTGGAAATCATAAGCGAGGACAGTGTCTTTAATTTTTCAATAGATACAATATTTAAAGTTAATTTCACAAAAATCGATCCGAATGACAGAAAGTGTCAGAGAAAAGTTCGACCGTCTTTGAGGTTGGAAGAATAATTTTTGGATAAATATAGCGGTAGTTTTGCGCTAGAACCTGCGCGGCTACGACGAGCGCTCGGACATATACTCGCTGGGCGTGGTGTGCTGCGAGCTGGGCAACGGCGCGGTGCCGTTCGCGGAGGTGGCCACCACGCTCATGCTCACCGAGAAGGTGCGCGGCAGCACGCCGCAGCTGCTCGACTGCTCCACCTTCCCCACCTTCCCCGAGCCCTGCCTGCCGCTCCACGACGCGGAGATGAAGAGTATTAACTCATTACAATATTTCATTTAAACAGGCGTAACTACAAATAACTAACATTCAAAAGGGGTGTAGACAATTACAGTTTTTAGACAATTTTTATAGATATACTCACACATCAGATTCACTGCTGTGTGTACCTGATAATGTCGGCCAATCAGAATAATTCAATTATAACGTCGTGGCACCTAATCCCCGCCGAGTATGACTGAGACGGACTTTCATCCTTATTCTTATTACAACAAGAGTCACTATAAATTTTAATTGTACCGGCTTTTGATAGGTCTGCTTTACGCAAACGAATATTCACCATATGCAATATTAATTGGTACTCATTGTCAACCACAAGATCAGAAATACGATCAAGTATAACCATAAAGTGAGCTATAGGGTTCCCGTGAATTAATACGATTCAAGATCAATTTTATCGATTCAGATCTATTCAACCCCTTAACGTGTCTACTCGTGCCAAATTTCAATTTTCTAGTACCAATAGTTTTTGAGCTAAACCGGACGGACAGGCGGCTATGGCGAAACTATAAGAGTTCCTTTTTTACTACGGAACCCAAAACAAGAATCTAGATGGCGCAGTAGCTATTATATTATATGTATTGCAGGTATGTACAATACCGACAGCGGCGTAGGCGACAGCGCGGACGGTGTGTCGCGTCTGCGGCACGTGTACGCGACCAGGAAACTGAGCGACTCCTTCCACCACCTCAGCGAGGTGGCGCTGCACAGGTAACGGTCTCTGCGGCACGTGTACGCGACCAGGAAACTGAGCGACTCCTTCCACCACCTCAGCGAGGTGGCGCTGCACAGGTAACGGTCTCTGCGGCACGTGTACGCGACCAGGAAACTAACGTGCCTTCGGAAGCACGGAGTAGCTTGAGATAATAACATTTTGGTCATCCATCCCGTGACTGACATTTGCGAAAGTTTCTTAACAATACCGCGGGACGTTGCGCTTATCCACTACACCACCTAGTTACATGTATTAAATGTGTAATCATTTGGTCACTGGTTTGTTGGTTAGCATTAATTAAGTTGTCTAAACCAATGCACGGAAACGTCAATACAAAGTAAATGTCAAAGAAAACAAGTCTCAGGTATCAGAGATATTTTTAATTGAAAATTGACCAAATATAATTAATTTCAAAGTCAAGTCTTGTAATATGGATGACAACATTTTTTTTTTTGTTTGTCCGTCAGGTAGATTGTTGAAATATATTAAACACGTATTTTTTTAAATTTATTATTATCATTACATTACGGCAATACATCGAGTTGAAATGTAGCGAGTCTCCATTCCTCAACTTTATTGTCCATCTAAGCTATTTCTAAGCTCATCTAAGCTATTTCTTATTAAATTGAAGTTAAAAAAATCGTATCTAATATTTTTCTATTATCTGACTGACGGACTAAATAGATTTTCTTTTTTTACCCAGTCGTCATCCATATAAAGATAATAATAGGAGATATAGACATTGGGAATTATTAATTGCTGAATTGTCATATGGTGATTTTGTTATAGAGATCCAGAGAAGAGGCCGACAGCGACTCAGCTCCTGAACCATGCGTTCTTCAAGCAGATACGTAAGACTGACTACCTGCCCGGACTCATAGGACGAGTCAAACCGATCAAACCTGACCCCAGTAAGTATCTATCAATACAGACAAGCTTTTTATTATTGATTTTACTAATACTAGCTTTAAACTGTTTAGCGGGATAAAAAGTAGCCTTTTTAATTCAGACTTAGAATTATCCGTATATTAAAAATCCAAACTTACAAACATTTGCCTTTATAATATTAGTAAATTTATTGACTCCTGCGCAAACAGCTTAAATAATTTAATAATTAATTTTGATATCGATTCATGTCATGACACGGATATAATTACAATGACAAATTGAATAGTAAAAATTGGTTACTATGGTAACATTTTAATTCCCCATACAAACTTGCACTCCCATTTTTATCCCTTTATTAGTAGATTTTGGGATGAAATGTAGCTTCCAGTAAGTGAAAGGATTTGTTAACATCGGTCCATTAGTTTCAGAGTCTATTCGTTGCAAACCAACAATCAAATCTTTCCTGTTTATAATATTTTCATAGATATTCACTATCTATAATAATATATTCATTGCGAAAGTAACTTTGTCTGTGTATCTGTAACGTTAATTGAGTACACAAATAGATTGGACTTATATAATAGTTGCCACGCGGGCTTAATCGCGGGTGAAAATAGCTAGTTTATCTATAAATCGAACCGAATAAAGAGAACAACCTTAACCGACTAGACACACCCAGTGCAGGTTGATGGGTATTAACAACTGAAGATATGCAGGACTATCGGCTTGATGATCGGTATGTGGCTTACGAAATACGGATATATTCGAAGGAATTAATTTTTGGTGACCCATCTTATTATTGACGTTTTTCGAAAATTGCACAGCCTCTGCATCCCATACTGACAAAACGTTAATTCGATACGGAAATCACATCATATAACAGTTCTTCATTAATTTTTCACAATGGAAACCTTGGGACTCAATTTTATATATACTTTCCGGTAGCGGCAACGCCCGCATGGTTTCTAGAAAATTGTATAGTGGGATAAAAACTAGCCCATATATTAATCCAGGCTTAAAATTTAATTTAATATAACATTTGAATGAGGGTATAAAAATCATGACATGAATATAATTATAATGACAAATTGAATAGTAAACAATGGTTACTATGGTAACATTTTAATTCCCTATACAAACTTCTGCTCCCATTTTCATACCATTAATTACTGTTTTTCGGAATAAAATATAGCCTATCTCCACCGCTTATCACCAGCCCTTTTACGTCCCCACTGCAGGAGCTCAGGCCTTCCTTATGGATGGTTAAGGAGGATGGGCCATGACCCTCCACGCTGGCCCAATGCGGATTGGAGGGTATTGACGACTTCAAATGCAGCCGGGACCAACGGCTTAACGTGCCTTCCGAAGCACGGAGTAGCTCGAGATAATAATTTTTTGGTCACCCATCCCGTGACCGACCCTTGCGAAAGTTGCTTAACGACTACGATCGCGGGCCGCGGCGCTTATCCTCTACGCCATCGAGCTACTGAGCCACCGCTTATGGTGTAGCTTATTTTAGATAAAAGATTTTTTTAAATCGGTCCATTAGTTTTGGAGCCTATTCGATGCAGACAAACAAATAATCAAATCTAAAAAGTTCTAAATTTCATTGAAAAATTGCATATTTCAGATGACATGTCAGCACTTCTCCTGCAACAGAAAATGTCAGATATGGAAATTAAAAAGACGACAGAATGGGATTTCTAATTGACATACAGTGTATGTATGTGGTCGAGGTAACCGTCGATGTTTTAATCTGATGTACAATTACATTGCGAGTATGTCCAAATATACTCTACCAACAACATTATATAGTGCTAATTCACCGCATAAGATTCGTGACGCCTTATAATTAATAAAATATAGCCTGCATTACTCGCTAATAATGTATATATAAGCTGTAAAAACTAAATAACAAACAATGGAATTAATAGGGTACCTATTCTATTCTGTTTGAAATAATAGATACGTGTATATGTTTAATCAAAAATATTTCTGAAAATAAACACGTTTCTTTGCCTTAAAATTAAATCAAAACTTTTTTTATACCCGAGAAAACGCTGTTCGTCATATTTATGACGTCACTGTGATATGTACACAAAACAAATACAAAGAGTAGAATAAATTATGTCAATAAAACAAAAATAGTGTTATCAATTGCGAAATGAAAAGATATAAATCAGCTAAGAACAGCGCCATCTAGGAATTTGATCTATAATTAATAGGCATATTTTATGACTAATCTGACAGCAGTCACCACAGTGACGTCACACAATGGCGGGTCGTGTTTCGAGTCAGTTGACACACAGTCAAAAAAAATACTTTTGATTTTAAAATAATAACACAATTGTGCGATTTAAGACTCAAAATCGTAATCTCTATGTTTTTAAAACGTTGTAAATTATAGTTTTTTGTGCAATTTCGTGACTTATTTTTCGCTACCGAAATTACCCTATTAAGAATGTCATATATTTATACGCAAAAAGTAAATAGTTTTCCGAATTTTAATACTGATATTCATGAGTTCTGAATCTAAAATTTAAAAATTAATACATATTACTTTACTTATAAAATACCTTTCGGTGCGTGAACTCAACTCATTCAGAGTCTTTTTTTTTATATTTAAACATGCCTATCTTAATTTGTTATATAGTAATTACATTTACTATTAATATGGTGGAGTTAATATAGAAACGATTCCGGTCCTTAACGCTTCTATGTAGCACTTGCGATTAACTACTTTATAACAAGACGACATAAGGTTTTGAGCTTGTCTAATCGAGAGATCGAATAGCCGTATTCATTTGTGAGAATTGTGTTTATTTCATTTAACACCAGGAATAAAAGGAATACATTCTGTACAGTCAGTCAAAAATATGGTTTACCACCCAACGTTTAAGGTTCATTTAAACGCCATGGATAAGTCTCTATAGTCTGTTACAAAATTCAACCTTAGCGATAAATTAGACCCTTGACCCTTGATTTGTAATCTTAATATTAGCTTCAGTTTTGGCAGCGTGTATTCGGACATACAATAATGTAATAGCTTTACAACTCAATTATTTGTCACAGATACAATAAATAATGTGCCTGACATACCCGATAATAGTTTCTTATAATAAATAATATATTAAAAAACCAATAAAGTAGACTTGATTAGTATTAATATATCTAATTTGACAAAACAGGTCTTCCAATGTATATGTATTATGTATCGTATTTAAGTTAATACTTTCGTTCGATATATACAAACATAATCTTCTACAATAAACCTCTGCAATTAATTTTGAACTTAAACATCTACAGATTTAAACTTAAAATCGATGGAGTTTATCCATTTGTTGACGCGTTATAATAAATAAGATTATGCATTCATTCAAAATTTCACATTCACCAATAGGGATGATGACTGGGTAAAAAAAATGCAATTCTATTTAGTCCGTCAGTCAGATGATATAAAAATATTAGATACGTATTTTTTTTTTACTTCGAATTAACAAGAAATAGCTTAGATAACAGGCATTACAGTTGAGGAGTGGGGGCTCGCTACGTCACAGTTGAGTTGAAAACGTACTCTAACGTGACGTCACGCGAAATTTCAACTCAATGTTAAGACGTAATTTTATGATTACGAAAAAAATAAAAAAATACGTGTTTAATATTTTTTAACACTCTACCTGACGGACAAACCAACAAAAATTAGTCATCATCCCTATTGAATGCGTTAAAATTTAAATTTAAAGTTCGGTTGATTTATTATATTTATTCAATTTCTTTATCTCATATGACAATATTATATTATTTAATTGCCTTATTGGAAAATATCTTTAAAAAAAAATCGCCAATTGCTATTGCTCGACATGGTATTGGAACCCATATATTTATTTATTGTATTACTAGTGTAGTGCAATTGTACCCTCTATATGAAGCAATTTACAAAAAATTATGATTGATTTTAAAAATTAAAAAAAGATCATCCTAATTTATAGAGGTAGTGATGACCAATAATTTTGAAAATTATGCTAATTACTTAAAAGTAATGAATTATAATTATATACATAGATTTTTATGATAACAATTATATAGTTCCAAAAATTGGTATTGGTAGAAATATAATACGTGTATATACACGGAGGAATCGTGTACATAACATTATAGCAATGTAAAAAAATTACATATTGTTGTATAAAGATTGACTTTCGTTTAAAAAACCGGTTCGATTTACATAATTAATTTCACATTAATATCCTTAACTCTGTCCAATCGATAAGTTACACAAGTTTCTATCAATTATCGACCGGAAATGAAGACTTGTGGACCAAAGACCGTTCCTTTACACGTAACATAAATAACTGAAAATATGATGAGCTAAAAAAATTACGCCACTTCAATAAATAAATATAAAGAAATTCACGTTTTGATTTCTAATACACTGGTTGTAGTTGTCTATTTGAACTTTGTTCAGTATCAGTTTGAAATTGTTATATATTGTGACCTAAGCACCTTGTTATGTTTGGGGCTATCCATAAATTACGTCACATTGGCTCCCCCCCCCCCCCTATTTCTATCATCACATACAACTTCTATTAAATATTCCCTCCGACCCTAAAGTGTGGCGTAATTATTGGATAGCACTATGTCATGTGGACTAGGTGCGTTCTTAATGTCAGCTGTAAACATCGATGTGTTTTTATGTATAGATTACCGACTAGTAAATCATAATTATATTTTAACATAGCTAATTTAGATGTTGACACTGTGATTAATAAAAAATTTATTGTTAAACTGTGGGTTATTATTTGTTTCGGTTTTTGTATATACTTTTCATGTGTTGTTTGTTAAGAAAATAAAAAAAAAGTATTTATAGAAAATTGCAAAATAAAACGGCGCTAGTTCCGTTCAAACTGACAATATATTTTAGAATATACATCAAAAACCATAAAGAAGAAGTAATGCAAATATTTCTTATATTTTCACGCTTTCATCGCGTTTGTTTAATAGAAATGAAGTTTGGCATATACCACCGGCTTGGGATCCAGTAATTAATCAAATTAAATCTCACTCCAGATCACACATTGCAAAACCAAAGGTTACAGTTAGTTCATTATTTTAATATTAAATCAAAGGAAGCGATTCACTTTTCCGTGTTTGAGTTTGTTTCGCCAGTTCTTCTCGGACAAGAAGAAAGTTGGAACTGGTGATAGATTAAGGTAGCCAGGGGTAATTAAATAAGTTAAATGTATTTAAAAAAAAAATTTAATTGTAATAAAATATTGTAAATATTTTTATTGTAAATGTGTCCAATATTGTTGGTTTTTGAAGGTAGCTTTACTTTTAATGAAGTATTTAAAAAATGCACCTCCACTAGATGACGACTCTAGCAAAAGTTGATTTTTGCAGGTAACATAATAGAAAACTAAGATATCAATACAAATACCAAAAAGTACAAATAGAATAGGAGTTGTTTATTGAGTTTTGAAAACTAATTTACTTTTATACATGAAAGAAAACCGGAAGGGTTGTCATGGAGAAATCAAGAAAGTTTTGTAGCGACATCTAGTTTGATTTCAGGAACTATTTTTTTTTAAACATCCTTATTAAAAATATAACCAACACCCTAGTCTTATGTCAACACGGAACCTGTAAATGGTCCAAAACGTCAATAAAATTAAATACAAACGCGATGAAACCTTTAAAAATGCGTTTCATTTATAGTAACACAAAGAGTTTATATTGTGCTACCCTGATTATATATTTTCACGCGCACTACCCATTAAATAAAACTACTCAATAGGTTTTATTGCGTGCATTTTTGAAGAATTATTATTATTTATTATTCTGTCCGTGGATATAAGTACAATTTAAAAAACACGCTCAATTTTCGAAATCTGCAAAGAAAAATTTCATAAAGGTTATAACCACAAAACTAATTAACAAATTGAATTAGGATCACACTTTTGAATAAAAGAAATTTTAAGTATAAGAAACTTTATTGAAAAGAAATTCGATCATATTTCTTTAGAGATATAGTTAAAAATCGCTTGCAGCCATATCGCTGCGCCGCGCGCGCCCGCGTCTTCATCCGTAGTGTACGCACTCGATACGTACGACGCTCTGCCCGCCCTGTTATCAACAATTAATTAATATTACCGGCTTAAATAATATATTTATCGTAATAAAAGATATTTCGAAAAGCACGACCTCGACATGCTATTTCTACTAATCGCATCTCAATATCGCTGTTCCTTCGATATCGATATTTTTGGCCGTCGACATATCGGTTTTTCGATATATCGTTGCGTCCCTAGTTCGGTTAACTGTATTGGATCATACAGACCATTAATCTAGTCGCGAATAAACAGTATGTTACTAGGCTAGTTACACAAACATACATTAAATTTGTAATTAGTTTAAAGCGACATTACCCGTACAAATTTGACATTCATTAGAGCTTAAAGGTGTCAACCTTAATGGACGTTTGTGCAACTGACCGACTATGTTTTTGATCAATTTAGTATCTTTATTGATTACAGATCGTACAAGGAGTTTTTGAGTTTATATAAAATCACCCACAACACAACACTACAATACCTATCTATTTTGTATTTTAATCCTACCAATAAATTAAGATATTCAAGTTAAATTGACAGTTAATTAGTTGGCTGATCTTTGTACAGCCGTATTGTAGAACGTAGCGTTTACCTACTCGGCTGATCGAAGTCAGCCCGTTAATTGAATGGCTCCATTCTTTCATAGAGCTAGCCGCCCAATTGGTTGGCTGATTATATCACTTAGCTGCGACACATATATAAGTATAGTTCACACCTGGCGGTCATGCCGGCGGTACCGGCGGCGCCGCGTTCTGCAGCCTGTGCCGCGGCCCGCGCTATACTGTACACGCCGCACGACAACTGCTCCTTGAACGCCACCACTGCTGCGTGAATACTGTCCAACTGAAACAAATGAAAATGAAATGAAATGAAATAAAAATGTTTTTATTCAAGTAAGCTTGTTACAAGCACTTTTGAATCGTCCAAAAATATTTTTTCCCCTACCACTTGTTCAGGACGGCTTTTGGACGAAACAAAACGTTTCATGGTCGATTTAGGCCGAAAACCCGGTTTTGGCCACTGCATGTTTTTTAGCCATTTGGAACTTCAACGTGTTCTAACTCACGCTTCAGGGGCCGTTTATTAATAAGTGAGGCTTGAAAGGGATTCGTATGTAGTAAATTATCACGTGTATTTATTTTTTCTTTAACTGCAAACGAAACTCAAAAATTAAGATTTTTTGTAGGCAAGAAATTCGGCAAGGGCAATTAAATAATTTATTATTATTTAACAGAGAAAGAACAATCTCAAGGAAGAATTGATTAATTACCGTACATATGTAATTAGTACTACCGTTCAGTCTCTTGAATCACGTGTCTCTCTCACTACGGGATGTTGGCAAAATTTCCGTGTATAACCGAACAAGTCCATATTGAAAAAAAAAACAAAAGGATATATTACATTACCATAGTCCTATCTCCTGGATCTGCGCCCCCATACTTCGATATCGCTCGCGTGGCGCTGTCTAACGCCAGCAACCAAGAGGCCGCGTCATTAGTTTTTGCACTGAAAATATTGAATAAACTCTTTTATTTTGGATTAAATGTCTGTCTAATTTTTTATATAATAAGTATTTCGGTAGACTTGAAGCTCAGTGTCCTCCCCTCTCTCTAAATTTTCTGGGATCCATAATGATACTTTTGTTTTTATCAACATTAACGTATCCCTAAATACTACATTGTGGAATGCAATAAAATAAACAATAATACAATAGAATAATAATTTTGAATCATTCCACAAAATATCTCTTAGTTTGCACTTTTGCCACGCAAAATTTACTCTGCCCACATAAAATTTTGTGCCTATTTGCGTCGGCAATGATAGTACAAAGCTTCATTCACACATTTCACTGATGTGTCGATGAGGAAAAAAATAGTTCCCGTAATCAAACTAGATGGAGCTACGGTGCTTTCTTGATTTCTCCATGACAACCCTTCCGATTTTCTTTCACGTATAAAAGTAAATTAGTTTTCAAAACTCAATAAAGAACTCATATTCTATTTGTACTTTTTCGTATTTGTATTGATATCTAACTTTCGAACTTTGCAAATTTCAGTTTTTTAATATGTTAGTAAAAAGGATCGGAAATGACATATCTCGTTTCCTGCAAAAATCTACTTTTGCTAGAGTCGCCATCTAGGGGTGCTTTTCTATTTTTTAATACTTCCTCATTCCGGCATCCGGCGCAATAGGTACCGGCACATATCTACCGCTAGCCGGTGGGTGTTGTATACGTGGTCAATAGATAAGTAGTGAGTTCATTGTTAACCTAATTTTAAAGGATTTTGTGTTTACACGTACTTAAACATTTGAGTTAACTACTTATTTACTTAATATGTGTAAATCAACTACGGTAACTGGTGTTATACTTCACTTCAGCTTAAATCTACCACATCAAGTAGTTCATTTAAGTATTGTGTTTTTTGGATTAATTAATAACCTGCCGTATGCCTGCGCGGCGGCAGACAATCCCAGACTGTAGATGCCGCCAGACGTTCCACCCATGTCACGCTCCGCTACCTCGGACAGATCCCAGAGTACATTCGACGGATACTCCATCGACGCAGTCTTTGTGTACTCCAGAATAGCTGGCAATAATAACAATTCTCCATGGTAAAAAAAAAAACAAATTAACGAAATTACCTCCACTTAATTCAAAAACAGACAAACTAGTAAATAAACAACTAACTAAGGTAGAATAACTTTTTGAAATCGTAATATACTACACACCGAGTGAAAATTTCTTGAGAGTGGTCCCACAATCTCCGTCACCGCAGCCCGAGTCCAACCTGTTCAGGAGTGCTTCATTTTGTGCTAACGCCTCCGCTGCAGCACACAAACTGTCTCGTAGTAAGGTCTGCTCTGAACACGACAGTGAAGGACCGTTTGCGCCCTAGACACAAATAAATCTTGAAAAAGCAACTATAAAAGAATTAACGAAGGTTTTATCAAAATTAATTGAGAATTAGAATGAAAAAAGTTTTTATTCAAATAAGCTTATTACACATTGCACTTTGAATTGTGAATTTTTTTTCCCTGCATGCAGGACGTCTTTTGGCTCACATGAAAGAAACTTACCAGCTCTTTTCAGAAGTAACGACATTTATATAAATAATTATGCTTAGCAACTTATTGTTTGCGTGCGACGTTCTTTGATAGAACCTAGTAATAATATTCTGTGATTACTGTGACCGTGTACTGGGATCATTGTGCCCTTCAATTGAACGTATTTTCGCATGTATATGTATATATTTAAAAGCAAGATTTACTTTGATTCAACGAGTGCATATAAGTAATCTTAAATCACTATTACCAAATCAAAAATATCCATGAATCATACATAATAAAATTAAGGAGCAACAGAATTAAAAGACTCATCCATTGCATTGTTTAGTGTACATTTTTTGTCGCTTACATTCATCGTGGAATCCTGTACAGCGCCCCTACCAACAACTATCACGAACTACAAATCTTAATGTGCGCCACTCATAGAAGTAATTTTATCGGTAACGGCTAAAACAGGCGTAGATGTAGAAAATAAATAACCTCACCTTGGCATCAGAGTGTTGTGTCAAGTCGTCATCATCCCCGATGCTCCCCTCTGCATCGTCACAGTCAGGTAGAGGGTACGCAGGCCATGACGGCACCAGAGTGGTCGTGTCCAACAAACGTAGCCATCCTTCACCGTGTTCCGCGCTCAAATGCAGTAAGCATATTTGGAACCCGTGCATTTCTAGTGAAGACTTCATGTGCCCGGAGTATATTCTTTCCAAAGTTATCTGCCTGTTTACTAAAAACAAAAATTAAACAAGTAAATCGAGAATGCAGGAAAATTGAAAAAACGAATGAAGAATTATTTTTAGAACCAGCATATCTCTCGTCTCGTTTGGACGATCAACGAATCTACACGATTTATTCGGTATATGACGTCATGAAACTTACTCGTCTAACCTCAATATTTTCATTACGCTAACTTAATATGTCACTCCTTAATATGTGACGTCATTTACCGCTAGGCCCCGAAACATTATAGTTAATTTCTTTAAATCATGTCACATCACCAGCCTTTTTACGTCCCCACTGCAGGGGCTCAGGCCTTCCTTATGGATGGTTAAGGAGGATGGGCCATGACCTGGCCCATTGCGTATTGGAGGGTATTAATGACTGCAAATGCAACCGGGACCAACGGCTTAACGTGCCTTCCGAAGGACGGAGTAGCTCGAGATAATAACATTTTGGTCACCCATCCCGTGACCGACCCTTGCGAAAGTTGCTTAACGACTACGATCGCGGGCCGCGGCGCTTATCCTCTACGCCATCGAGCTACTTAAATCATTTACATTTCTCATTTTCTCGATCCCTAATATAAATGTTAAATATTATTATGCTAAGGAAGAACTCACCGAGAAAATCTTTGATTTCTTTGTTTATAATATTCATTTCAAGTATTGATGTTGCACCTAAATTGTTCACCATGGCTGTTACTCTATCGCCAGACGTGAGTTTGAGGTGTTCGACTATCTAAAAGCAAATATATTGTTTTATTAATATTCTTCAGAATATGCCTCTTCTCAATTTATCTATGTAAATCTAGAAGAGGCATATTCTACACCTTTTTCCAATATTCATCACTTATATCGTTATATAAGGCACTTACCCTTAATCCGGCTCGAAGGACCAACATACCTTTTGAAGTATAAGACTGACAACTTCCTTCGCAGTGCCGAGTTTGACTTTAGCAATGCCAGCTTCCCCATGCACTCCGGCACCCAGCTCCATCATGCCATGAGCTATTTCGAATAGTGGGGGCTGTCCTGTAATATAATATTAGTGAATTTGATCAAAACATAGATTAGATATGTTATGTAAACAATGTTTTTTGTTAGTTCTTTAGGAGTTATTGCGTAAAAATTTCTACGAGAAGAGCTCTTTGGCGCAGTGAATAGCGCGTTCGGTTTGCTATACGGGATGTTAAGCAACTTCCGTAATGGCTGGGCATAGGATGGGTGACTTCAGAAGGCTCATTAGGCCGTTGGTCCCGGCTGCATCTGCAGTGGTTAATACCCACCTTGTCTTGTGAGTCATAGCCCATTCTCTCTATTCAATTTGATTCGCTTCCATCCATAGGGAAACCCTGAGCCCCAGTAGTGGGGACATTAATAAGTAGATGATGATGATAATATTTATATACTTGCGTTATCAAAATTTGATGGAACAATTCAATGCTAATTGGGTAGGATTTTTAAAAATTAAGTAAGCAAATTTCTACCAAGGTCACTATTAGTGGTTCACAGTTAATATATTATAATAAACAAATAACCAATAAAATTGACACCACGTTAGGTAAATTAACACAAATATAAAATTAAGTTACTAAATTTATTCAACTGAGGATCTGAAACAACGAAGTTACCACAAAACCCAGACCTTAGGCAATACAGAAAAGTTCATTTTCTGTATAGCCTCGACCGTGAGTCGATACCGGGACTTCAGAGATGATGACACCTTGTAACCGGCGTACGAGACATTCCGCCACAGAGGCATAAATGAATGAATGAATGAAGCAACGTTATTTACAGTAGCACTATCATACTAGCTTAGTTGTATTTTACCTGGTAATGAGCACGGGCTCAGGCAAACACCGAGAGTTGCCATACACTGGCTAGACTCCACCGCTAAGTTTCGTACTTCCTCTAGGCTAGCTCCTTGAGCTGCCAAAGCTCCACACATCTTGGAGATACAATGAAGAGTCATGGTTAATTGTATAAGGTAATAAAAACTTGCCAAAATAGAGAATATTAATAATAGAATCCACCTCGTCATGATATAACAGCCGTTACTATATTAATTATTAGTTAAATCAAAGCCTTTGCTATCGATGAGATATTGTGTAAAGTCACACACATATTCAATGTGTCAAATATCAAATTTTCAATCTAAAACCTACCTTAAATAAATAGACCTCAGCACACATGCCCCTGCCACCAGTCTTATTATGGCTAGATGCGACGTCTTCACCTACTATTACACCTTCTACCTATTATGAAAAACAATTTTTATTTATACAACATTACCCTACTAGATGTAAAAATGTTGTTTGACATTTATATTACCTTAACCCCAGCCAGTTTTGCTTTTTCTATAGCTTTCCCAAAATTCAGTCTGTCTCCAGTATAATTTCCGATCAAAACGAGAACACCACCTATAATGAATATTTATTTGAACATCTTGTATTAATTACTTTTAAAAAGGTTTATTTTATTTAGGTACCAAACAGAACTTTCTAACACTTCATATTCCTAGCAGAAATACATCAATACGTTTACTTCTGCTTCTTCTTCTTCTTTTCCCATTTCTACTCTTTTTATACGCCAGCTTATTTCTTCTTAAACGGTATTTACGCGGAGTCACCATACGTCATAATATCATTCACTCCATCTACGTTCATATCACATAACATTTCCTCTCATAAAATCAATGCAGCATTCCTGCAGCCTTTCTCTTTTTTATTACCCATCGATTACGTACCAGAGTTATATTTGTATAAATATGTGATGGCGTATAAGACGTTTCCAGTTGGTGGTGATGAGAAGATGCCTCCCGCGACCGCTCCATCCAGCATGCCTGCACCGACGAATCCTGATACAAAGATTCAAGTAGTAGTAATGTAAAGAAGTATGAAGGAACATGGTTGCGTTGTACAGTCGGAAAACTTTGGTTGGTCTTGCGGAGAATCACTTTGAAATCAATTGCTTTGAAAAGCTTAAAAGGAAAAAATTTAGAGATATCACAACTATATAGAATTTATATTCACTTTTAAACTATCGCGCTGCATTACTAAATAATTATAATACCGGGTCATGTGCGGAGTAGGGACAATGTTAGTATTGTTTCTGACGGCAGTTGGATGAAAAATCTGAGAATGAAAGATAATTCATCCTCGGATGCAGAGACGTAGACTTGCTGATCCAGTTTCGTCGAGACCACAGCCGGTGGACGCCGGCCGAAACGTCGGCGCAGGTGAGTGTGAAATGCGTCTAATACCCGGTATTATAAGTATTTAAATAGAATCTAGTCTAGTAATAAAATAAAGTTTGATTGACTTCGAAGCTTCAATGGCGACAAGGACGAGACGCCATGTAAAATAATGTTGCCAATACAATTTCATTTGATAAAATTCTTTGAGTTCCAAAAGGTATAGGTATAACTGACACTCAAAAAAATACTTATAGGTATAACTGACACTCAAAAAAATACTTATAGGTATAACTGACACTCAAAAAATTTTTTCTATAAATTGAGATATTTTTTCAAATATGTATCTTATTAATATTATAAAGGCGAAAGTTTAGATGTTGGTTAATTCTTCACGCAAAAAGTGCTGAATGAATTTTGATGGGTTAAAATATAGCTACTTTTCATCCCACAAAACAGTTCCTTAGGAAGCACGTGCTTCCTAAGAAACTGTTAGTAATAAATTATAATCAAAATGTGACCTGCTGCGAAAGGCTCGTGTCCTGAACCGCCTCCGCCGATAACTGCTACCTTTCCATTATTTATCTGAAAATAGACAAAGCATTAAAACTATAACACGTGTTATTGACGATAACCTGCGATTTCACAGATTTAGAATAGTTTAAAAGGCACATAATCTCTATGATATTATCTATAAAAAAATATGTTATTGTATTTGGAACATACATAATAAAATTACCTGCTTAAGAAGGTTTATTACCTTAGAACGAACTGTGACTACTCTATGCTGAGGGTGTAAATGCAGCTGAGGATTGGCAGCTACTAAACCACGCAAGTTATCATCCACGCAGGTCTCTGGCGAGTTTATTAGTTTATTCGTTACTGGTTTGTCGGAAGCCATCTGTAAAAGAATACAATTTAGGGCTTATGCGGCTGTACTCTATTGGTTCATTAGTAAATAACCCACAGAGGTTGGAATGGAGATATCGCTGTTTTATTATGTCGAGCCTCTTTAGGAAGAACATCGTAAGCGCCATTTTGAATATTTTACAGCAAATGTTTTCTAAATATTTCCTAAAGTAATGATTTAATTATTTATTAATTATTACCTACCTATTCAATAATACATTCAGTTTTGAAGTAGTAAAATTCTTATGCAAATGTCGCTTACGTTGAAACTGACGACAATGATAATTAAATGTTGTCAAGAATGACGCTTACGATAATTTATAAATATGAATCAAAAAGTAGAAATAATAAAATGTTGGAGTTTTAGTTTTTTTTTTAAGAGATACCACAAAGAATCTGAAATTCCAATAACATATTAATTTTTAATTAAGAGACCCTTAAGGTTTAAAAATCTCAAGGTATTTGTCTAGAAGTAAAAATTACAAATAAACGGAATCAGTTTTGAAGTAGTAAAATTCTTATGCAAATGTCGCTTACGTTGAAACTGACGACAATGATAATTAAATGTTGTCAAGAATGACGCTTACGATAATTTATAAATATGAATCAAAAAGTAGAAATAATAAAATGTTGGAGTTTTAGTTTTTTTTTTTAAGAGATACCACAAAGAATCTGAAATTCCAATAACATATTAATTTTTAATTAAGAGACCCTTAAGGTTTAAAAATCTATATTTGTCTAGAAGTAAAAATTACAAATAAACGGAATCAATCATCTTCATTGATCTCGAACAAAACATCCCTGGTGTTTCCATCACACGATAATTCAATATATTCTTTAACGTACTCGTCTCGTATAACACCTTTGTCACACATTTTCAATAATGGGTTTACAAACAGCTTTTGATCATCTAGAAGTAGCTTGTATGATCTTTCTTTGTCCTTTATATGATTTTTTCCTTTCTTTTGGCTTCTTCACTCAAGATCCAGTTAAAAAGTACAATTTGTTACAAATTTGTCAAATTTCGCTATAAAAATTGTGACAACAATAAATGGAAAAGATAGAGAATTTTAGGTGTATCTTTGTGATTTTATTTTTATCATTATGGTTAGTTTAGTATTGGATGAGGCAGAACCCTAGGCATATAAAGTAATTTTCTTATTGTCAATTATAACTAATTTTGACGATATTTCTTAGCAGATTTATTTGTATATCCACCCTCTTAATAATATCCAGTAACCCAGCTAATTTATGAAGCATATTTCATTAAAGTCATAAATATAGCAAAATTTACGTATTTCAAATATACAACGTGTCCCAAAATTCAACGATAAGCGGGCGCCAAGAGGTAGACCTGCTCATGTGTACTTATGGAAAAATAAGAAAAAAATTATATCTTATTAATCTTTTTTATTATAAAATAAAATTCGAAAATTTTCGAAAGAGTAGTAGCGAATAGTAGTGCTACTTAGGTATCCGATACCAAAAAAAGATTGAACATAATTGAGAAGTTGTGGTCGTGGTAGTTGAAAATATCATAAAAGGTGTAAATTTTCGAAGATTTTCGAATTTAATTTTATAATAAAAAAGATAAGATATAATTTTTTTCTTATTTTTCCATAAGTACACATGAGCAAGGGTACCTCTTGGCGCCCGCTTATCGTTGAATTTTGGGACACGTTGTATATATATAATACATATAACTTAGTATCGAAAAAATGCTACTGGAATTAATTAATCTTTCAACCAACGATAATACTATGCACACATAAAATAATACGTAGTATACTTTCATTTCTTAACATTATTTGAACTAGAACTTCAATTTTCTAAATATTCATAATATAAATCTATCTATCGACTTCACACCAAGGGCGAATTAATTTTTAAATTTAAAACACGGTTAAATTTATTAGAAGCGCTTCACTTGTAAGTACAAGTACTTTTTAATACACTATGAAATACTACATTCGTTAAAAAAAAAACTATCACCAACTGTCACGATAATGTTTCTATGGTTTCTATAATAAAACTAAAAAATAATGAAAATTGAAATGTGGTAATAATAAATAACAACTAAAAGCAAAATAAAAAAACCTATCGCAAGTGACGAAACTTATTGGTTGTACTTATAAAAACATTCAAATTTCTTAAAAATGAATTTTATACAACTTTTGATTTCAAATTAAATGAGTAAGGCGCAAATGTGATCCAACGATTGATACAAAAACCTCATTTTTATAATTTTAGCGCTTACAATGTTTTTTCCTGATAATGCTCAAATAAAAAATTAAGACAGATTGTCTCTATTTACGAACACAAGCAATATTTAAGTTCAACCGATACAAAATCGCGCACACGTACATAAGTTAAGTTTTAGAGATTTAGAAAATTTTTACGAGCCAGGGGTTCTACCACAGCAATTAATTTGTCGCCTCCTAACTCTCTCTTGCCATATGACTTTCAGTAGTAGTAGCTAGTAGATTTTCTTGATTTTATCTTTTATATATTTTATCAAACTTTTTGGTTGATTTCAGCTTTCGCAAATGTTGCGTTGTCATCCTCCACATCAGCCTTTTATCCGTCCCCACTACAGCAGCTCAAGCCTTCCTTATGGATGGTGAAGGAGGATGGGCCATGACCGTCCACGCTGGCCCAATTCGTCGCCTCGCGACACTTCGCCTACATTTATTATAGCCTATGTTCAACGCGTATTATGTAGCTTCTCGTAGACACGTAGATGAAAGACTTATATATCGATGTAATAGTTTTGGAGCCTATACCATGCAAACAAACAAGCAATCAAATCTTTCTTCTTTATAATATAAGTGTAGAATAATAGGAAAAAAATATGTCGAGCAAATAAACAAAATTTCTTTTTTTATTAAGATTTTCACTATGTTGAATATTTTTATTTATATAGACATTTAATATATATAGTGTTACCTATTATATAAAAACATCAATATCACTAAAAAGCACGAAATAAAAATTTAAGAAAAACTATATATAACCTCCTTCAAACTTTAAAAAAGAGGAAAATAATACTTATCTCAAACGCGACTCGGGTGCTTATCATTAAATTATAAACTACAGAAAACCTCCTCCCGAATTTAAAATTTGAAGTCGGTTCTATTTTCTAAAAAGGTTGTGACAGTCGTTTATACCTTTTACGGTAACAAAATAATAGTCCTGCCACTTCAACACTGAAACCTGGTGCCTGAACAATTTTTTATATAGTTTAAAAGCACATTTGTCGATTTTCACCACTACAAAATCTCCTAATTTACTAAAACTTTATAAAGAAGTATTTATAAATGATCACGTCCAAATTCTAAGCGATCTCGTTAAAAACATTCATTATCAAGTGTATGTTATTAAGATAACTTATCATGTAAAGTTTATGACCCCACCTACACATTGTCCTAGATGGCCAGCACAAGCTATAATCAAAGAAATATAACGCTTTGGTCGAGCACCTACAATTTTATACTGTAGCACCACCGCAATTACAAAAATACGTTTTATTGTCGCTGGGCCAAGTAAAATCTGTCTGTATAAAAAAAAAGAAATTCACTTTAGTCCGTCAGTTAGAATAGAATAATATTAGATATATACGTATTTTTAAGTATACAAAGACGCGACGTCGTAATTGTTGACTACACGTAAAAACGAGTTAAATATTCTTTAATAATATAATCGTAGTGTATATGTAGTTTATAGTTAATGCGTATTAGTAGTATGTATAGTAATATATTTGTATTAGGATATTATTTTATATATATATTTTTTTGTAAATGTTGGTACACTACCACATCCTTCGGACAGGTGTCCTTTAACACAAGGGTTGTCTGGAAAAGATCGCTTTTAGCGATAAGATCGCCTTTGCCCATTAGAATTAAGAAATTTCCTGTAAACTTTCATTTGTGTGTGAGCAATAAAGAGTTCATCTATCTATCTACCTATAGTTATATTATCTACAGTTATATCAACTATACCTCTCTTAAATATAATGGATTCTTATTCTTAAAAAATGCTCTTTTATTAATATATTCAATTTTATTAGGATTAACTCACATCAACAGATAAATATATCGTCGTATATAAACAAGTCTGAGTGTTTGTAAAACAATATTTTATATCTGTCGTTCACGTATGACTTTATTTTAAAATATATATTAGCACACGCCTCTTAGTTACATAATTATGAGAAGCTAACATATAAACATCTATAGTAGATACCCTCATAGCCAGGGTTGACAAGCGCCTGATAAGGTAAGTTGTTGATAAACAATAGTATCCGTTTTAAACATCATTCTTTTTTCTTTCGAATGGATCTGAAGATTATTGTGTTTTTAAATGTATTATAAACCCACCTAAACTTATTGACAATCAATATATGCTTTGCATGATGTTATATTATGTTGTAATTATTATCTTTTAATTCGTTTACATATGTATTTTATCTATCTGTAGCTTAGTTACCTACTTATACATTGTGGACCGACCGCGCCATTGCGTTTATGGTTTTTCCTAAAAGCTAAACTGATACAGAAAAAAAATAGCATTAATTTTGAATATTGTGTCATATTTTTCACTAGTCAACAAAGCTCAATAGATATTTAATCAAGGTACAAGTCTTAAATTAATATACGCACCATGACTGCTTGCTCGCTCATTTTATTTAGTAAATATCCAAAAACTCGAAAATTAATTCAAATACAGAAATTAACATCGTAATACACACGTAACATATAACCGTACAAGAATAGGTGGGAAATTGACAATCTAACACTAGGAAAATAAATATGTAGGTATATCTAATGATGTAGTTATTCTATAACTGCATGCAGGATGAACGTTAACCATATAATTTTAGACGCACACTGTATGCTTTCAGGTCGCTGCACTAACTGGCATCCGCAAACTTAGTTGAATAACCAACCGGCAGCAAGCAGTTAACCTATTAGCAATTGCTATACCGTCAAGGACATGTCTATTCATCACGCGCTCGCTCCTTAAAGATCTTGAAGTGTCTTTTATATTGCGCCTCGATAATTGGTGTTTGAACAAGGATGTATTCCCGAGTATTTCACGAAATACTCCGTGCCTTGTATAAGCTTATATTGCAGGCTCAATTCCCAGTTACAATATCGCAGAAATTAAATTTCGGATCCGAGAAACTTACTAATTATGTTAAACTGTTTATCAAACAAGTAAGCAAATCTTATGAATATTATGTTATGATCCTAGAATATTCTCCGGGTATTTTTCATAAAAAGTCTCTATATAACCACATTTTTATTTTTCTAATGCCAATGCATTAATTTAACATAATGCATTATGACTAGATTTCGTGACTGAATGTCGACTTTGTGATGAAACCCCTCGAAGACTGGATCAGTCCTTGCTATCAACCTTATAATAATTACAAACGTTTAAGTTCGGTTGAAGTATTTTGTAATAATGAATCTTTACTTATGAAACAATTCATCGATGATATTATAATATTTTCTAAACATTGATCTAAACCTTTTAAGCGGTCTAGTTTAATTGAGTGACAGATAAAGAAATATACTTTTTTACCGACTTCAAAATAAAAAGGAGGAGGTTGTATATCAACGGCAATGTATTTTTCTAACGTATGTTCACTGATATTTCCGCAATTTGTTGGCGGTTTTCAAAATTATTATTTTATTCGACAGCTTAATAAATCGAATCGGTATTTTTCCTTTATTAACCAAATAAAATACGCTTCTCACCGAATATTATCCAAATATTTAGTTGATATAGTAAGACATGGCCCATTTCAGCTAAAAACAAAAGATTGCGTGCGTATTTGGAATTCATTAAAAATCCGAAAAGTGAATTTTCTATTTTCAAGGAGTATGTAAATTTTTTATGAAAATAGGTATGTTAATCGATTTCTTCTTGAATTGTGAACCAATTTCTATCTAGGTTTCCCTGCGACTTCGCCTTTTTTTAAAGTTTTGGATTCATAATAATAATACAAGTAGGTAGTGGTAACAAAAAACGACATTAATATAATTATATAACAAGTTTATTATTATTTAAATAAGGCGGGAGCTTCTATTGTAAACGTGTTGGTGGTTCCCGTGAAGTCGGTGAGCTGATTGATGAGGAGGCGTGCGGTACCGTGGTACACCATGCGGTACTCCGTCAGGATCGCGTCCTCCGGTACCGTCCACTCGAATGTCACCTGACTGGTGCCCAGGACAGTCGATACTCTCTCCCATGTAAACCTGACGTAGGAAATAGTGAAGAAATAAAATATATTAATTCGTATGTGATTCACCTAATTACTTTAGAGTCGATAGATATTCGAGAAGTGTAATATGAAAATTAATAATCGGTATTATAACAAGGACACAAAATTTAAAAGCTATTAATTTAAAAAAAAATCTTTTATTAAAATAAACAAGCAATGTATTCTACAAGTAAAACATTTTCATTTGATTACTTGTTGGGTGGAGCGTTCAGAAATATGTAAGCCGCCATTTTGTTACGACGGCGGCCATTTTAAATTAATATTACCGAATATAGAAAAACAATCACTTCAAGAGCTTGTACACCACAAGCACCGTAGAAGCTGACTAGTACGATATAATTAAAGTATTTTGTTGCGACCAAACGTATTTTATACCTTGTCTCCCAGTCAGCGTCAGTAGCGATCACGTGCCACTGACCCAGTTCCAGTCTCTCAACCACCACATGGCTAGATTCTTGTCTCAGATTGTTACGCGGATTTGCACCCACCTTTGAAATATATACAAACATAATAGTATAAACACCTTATATTGATGTATTTTCATCTCTGCTTTCATCTCTTTTACTCCACTGACCTTTTCTTACATTAGAAAGAGAAGAGGCGAATACCGTGTCTTTCTTTGGAAATATTTTTATTATTTTTATTTTTGTCTTGTAAATTGTTGTTTGTTTATTACTTTTACTTTTGTACCCTAATTTTAAAAGCATGATAGAATGAATGTTTTACTGATGATAGAATGTTTTACTGGTATGATCTTGAATGTAAGATTTATTGTAATTTTTCACTTGTGATCCAACTCCAAATAAATTAATAAATTGGTTTCTTATCTAATACTCTTATATAGACCTTACTGCTATGAAATTAAAGGGTATTTTGCCTAACTGAATAATGGATGCATATGATATTCGCTTCATCTCTTTTCGCGCTACGCCATTTATAAAAGAAAGGGCAAATATCAAGTTTTGTAGATTTAGTTTTATATTTAGGTAGATATGAGAAAACGCTTATATAGTTCGAGTTATCATATGATATTGTAAGTATATTGGTTCTAAGATACGTTTCGATTTATCAAACTCGTGCCTACTTAAAACTCGTTATACAAGGGAGGGTCAAACAGATGTAAAGGTGTTAGGTCACTCACAAAGACTACTTGCACAGTGTCGCCCCTGTGCACGGTGGGCGGCGGCTGCTGCAGCACGTGCCCGAAGGCGGATCCCCACGGGGAGGAGTCCAGCACCACGGGCAGGATCAGCGACACCGTGCGGAACCTGTTGTCGGCGGGGGTGGGGCCCGCGGGGACAGTGCCGCCCTGCGCAGTACACACGGCTAAGTGACGATAGCGAGAAGGCGGCTTTCAGCGCGGACAGGTGGTTACAAAGCCAAAATTCATTTAAAAATTTAACTGATTAGAAAATAATGATTTTCTTCGATGTTTTTATTACACTCCTTTGCCTTTTGAAAGAAACTAACTTTTTTTTTAAATTTCACTTGCGCCATTGGAGAACTTTCAGTAGAATTGAGAATGGCTTTCTTTATGTAGAAATTTTAAACTTCCGCTTCTTATAATTTGAGCAATTTTGAATATTCAAGAAAAAATCTTGAAAATTCGCCAGTCCCACGGGGTCCGAGATCGTATTCGAACCCATATAAGCTTTCGCAATTCGGGCAACTACTCTAACCAACTTCTAATTTAAATAACATGTCGGTAGCCTCAATCGTTAACTTTAAATTTGACTCTCACCTCGATAGCCACATTCGTAAAGTGGACAAATTTGTTCAACAGTATGTCCAAAGTGTGCGGTCCGTAGATCGTTGAGGCCGCTTCATATCTCTGGACCTGTAGTCAAACAAAACGTATACCATTATAAATTGAAAATCACAAAAAGAAAAACCATTTGGTTTATTAAAACTTTTAAGATATATCTTCTGGTTATGGCAACTACTAGACCCGTAAAAAAATTCATTTTAATGTAAATAACCATAAGAGCTTAAAATAACATATCCCAGACTTTTTACTTATCTACATCTTTCAACTTTATCAACGGTACTTCTACATTTATAGAGTTTTAGGTATATATCAGGGACGAAGACATCCTCACCTGGTACTCCTCGTAGGTGGCGACGTAGTGTATGTACTCGTTGGTGAGTCCGGTGACGACCACCTTGGGCTCATACCCGCGCTGCAGCATGACGTCCCCCACCGCCGCGCGCATGCGCCGCCCCGCCATCGTCGTCGGCTCCCCGGGGACGCCCAGGATCGCGAAGTCTCCCAACCAGATGAGGGACACAGACACTATGTGTGGGTGCCACGGCAGCGGGATGTTAGCCTATCATTAGATCGATCGTTCAAACTTTGGCTATTTGTCTTTAAGTAACAGAAACGGTTTTATGAGATTCGATGGAGAAAAAGGTAATAAATGTCAGTAAAAACATTTAAATTTTAATAACACGTGAGTGGATCTAGGGAAATAGGTAGTAGTTTTATAGAAAGAGCATGAACGATCTCATCGGAAATCAATAGTTGAATAAATCTAACCCGGCCAGTCATCAGGAGAATGGGTTTAGGTGCGTGACACTCTCGATCTTCTGCTGTAGGCCGCGCCACTATACCACTAATGGCGTCCAGTAAATCATTATTCGAAACTGTTCCCTGAAAAAAAATATCACATTTGAACTTCGATTCCATCACACGCACGCACGCACATCGAGAATACATTTAAAATTATACATAATGTGTAAAGTCAATCATTATAACATTACATTGGTATATAAAAAAAATAATTACTTGACATTAAAGAAGTTGTAGAAATTAGTATTTAATAAATTGTATTCACCTGGACCGGGCTCCCATCACAAATGATAAAAATGAACAATATACTGGGTAATAACATGGTATTTGCAGGTCGAGCATAGCTCAGTGCAAAAACCACTGGCAGTTATTTAATGTAATATTGTAAATGGTGAATAGATATTTCTATTGCATTTACACAACAAGAATCTATTGAAATTTTAACGTTTAGAAGTAAAACTTAAATATGCAGAGGTGGCATAATCTTTAAAGAATAAAAGTCATCATACTAAAGGTACTTTACGTTAAATCCATGCTATATGTTTAGTTAATGTAATGGTGTTCAGACAAGAAATAAAGTCAGAATGAGGTATAGCATCTTTTAAATCACCTGTGTTATATTGAGTGTGTTAGCACCATCAATTGTTCCCGATGCAAAACTGTAGCCCATGGCCGGCACGCATCCGTGCACTTGTTGGTCCTGAAATTAATAAGCAAGAGATATATACTGGTTCTAAATAAAGGGGAAAATATATACGGAACTCCATTTCAATAAGAGGATAAGAGTACCCGTAAGAATAGGTACCTGTCGTGATTGTGAAATGGGGTTTGTAATGCCACCAATCTTAAAATTACGATGAAGATTATGATAACATTGCAATTATTCTACAAAATTTATACACTTTTGACCCAAATTGAAAACTCATAAAAACATTCATATACAGGTTTTAAGCAGAAAACATTATAAATATGCCAATCTTATGATTACAACCTAGTATATTATGTTACTCACAGTTTTGAACTCCCTGGTGACGGGATCGTAACGAGCTCCAGTTTCTGTAGGCATATCGACGAACTGATGTACTACTGCAATACCGCCCGTCAACTCCTCACCGGGTGAATTCATCGCTTCCTGCAACATACAAGATCATTAGCCAAGCAGAAAACAATCAATTACTGATAAAAATACTCTATAACTTCCTCATTTATAAACAAAGCACCAGTTCACACGCATTCAGGCGGAAGAATCTCACTAACTATTAATATTCTTACAGTCTCTGAAGTCTTCACAAGCCACTCGTGAAGATTGGTGTAAACAAAACTTATTATCTGAACTCATTCGTAGTTAATTTTAACACAAAAGATGAGGACTAATAAAGATCTCATCGAACGGTCCTGAGATCAGACAAAGGAAGTTCCTCTAAATAACGTGATTAGCAAAAACTATCGCATGGAAACATGGGAGTAAAACCCGATCAACTTCCTCGTAACTTACCACAGCGCCTTCATATATAGCGTGTCCAATAATCCTGGTACTTTCGAACATGTCGTCACCTGGTCCCAAAGAGTAACATCTTTCTCCCGCGCCACAGAGGAGGAACTGATTATCGCACTCGTCGCCGCTAAACTCACAGCGAGCGCCTCGAATGTTCGGAGATACATCACCAAGATTTGCAGTGAAGAACCCGGCGACAACTGGTCCCTGAAATAAGGTATCCACTTTTTAAATATCAACATTTGAAGATTTTTTACAGAGTTTAAGAATACCAACATTGACTATTTGTAGATTCACAAAGTATTGATATGAAAATATATGGAACTAGGATCATTTAAGTAGTTAATAATAAATATGTATGTTGCTTTGTGGTAATACCGAAGCAGGAAAATTTCGAAAGTGACGAATTGACAAATAAAAAAAACTTTTAATAGATGAAAATACTTTAAATTAGATAAAACAAACATATTGCTTGTTTAAGATAATTTTCGGAATTTCCCCGCATTCGTGTTTACACCAAAGCACCTTTTGTATTTTTGAGAGCCACATAATCTTATTGATGACTTTCTAATTAGACATAACTGAATTCTAACTTGCTCTAAATAACGTAGCGTATCCGGATTTAATTAGGTGATAATGAATACTACAGTTTACTTTATTATATATAATATACTGCAATTAATACAATTTTAGCCGATGATACATTTTTCAGTTACCTTACCTTATAGGTAATATATATTGGTAAGCTAAGAAACTAATAGCTGAGTCGCTCGCGTGGTCTCTAGGGAACCGTTTATAAAATCTAATCAAAATCATTTATTATCTTTGATTAATTATGTCTATGCTGTTACAAGCACTTGTGAAAGTCGAAACTCTATGCCATCGATTCGTAAATCTACGGTGGGAGCTCATGTACTAAGAAGAACCGGCAAGAAACCCAGAATGCGCTGCTTTTTTCTCCCTGTGTTAGTTTTGGTTCAAAGATTGTGAATTGAAAATTTAGCCTGTTTGTTAATCTAGGCTGAAAATTATCTGTATACCATTACTCATCACAATAGTTTTTGTGTGAAAGAGTAACGAACATACTCACAAACTTTCGCATCTATAATATTAATGGGATTATTAAAAACAAGCATCCAAACCTACAAACTTTTGCCTTTATAATATCAGTAAGATAACTACTCACTTTCCCAGGCAACGCTCCAGGATTGAGTTTCTTTTCCATGGTAATGGCGGCATAGCCCAGGTTGTCGGAGGAGATCAGTCTGTTGGTCATATTCATGCTGGTGGTATGTACCGCGAACCAATTAAGGACTCCGTGCAGGTTTCCATCTTCGCGGACGATTCGCACTTGAGTTAAAGTATCATCTGTGTTACCGTCATACCTGGAAGAGTATTACAATTATATTGATTCACTCTTAATTCATTATTAAATCTGTAAATAAGACAATATCACTTCTTTGATTATGCATGGGATTAATTAAAATAGAATAATTGATAAGGAGATATCTTAGGGTTAAATGTTTTTTGGACGTCGTCGTAGGACAAAAAATGCAACACTGTATTATCCGCATGAATTCTTGAAGGCATCTCAAAAATTACATCCTCGTAAATTTTATGAGCACGTGACTTTATTGATATATTTATGGCAACATGGTTACAAAAGCAGATAACTAAGGATTAAGGAAATGTAAAATCTAATGTAATAACACAATAAAAATCACATTATCTAAATAATGCGATAGCAAACATAATTAGATAACATATCTACTTTAGTTACTTAGATGTTTTTGCTAAGAATAGAAGACAATCACAAACTTAATAGTAATAAAAGACTACATATGGGTACTTCGAAGATTCGCAAAACAAAAATTGTCACCTTGGTGGATATAACGCACAAGTAATGAAATAGACTTAGCGAAATTTCGCCTATTAGTGCCCCCCTGCTGAGGCACAGGCCTTCCCTATGGATGGAATCGAGTGAGAAGAACGTACCATGACCCAATACGGGGGCACAGTGCGAACTGGTGGGTCTTAACGACAGCAGATACAACCGGGACCAACGGCTTAACGTGCCTTTCGAGTTCAAGGTAATAATTTGTTTTTGGCCACCCATCCTATCAAGGGCCGGCCTTGCTAACCACTTCACTATCAAACTCCTCGTATCCAGTTACCGATAAGTACTAATAAATAATGTATACTGACCTTGCCCTCTCTTCTTCTGGGTTGTAGTTGTAGGAGTATGGGGATCTGTTCTTGTGTGCATTGGTAATATTCGCTTGAGCATAATATAAGTTCGCCGGCACTATGTTTTCATGAGCTCGAACTATACTCTGAAAATAAGAGCTGTTATTTAATTCGCGCGCGTTTCATATGACTTACATTCGGGAGGTTTATGGAACGCATGCTGTAGTCGATGGTGATATGTATCGCATTGTATGTGGCTAGGCTTTTATTCTAGCTGTCAGCCAAGGGATCTAGGGGGTGTCATGGATATCATGACCTCCCCTGGACTGGGTTCAGGACCTAGGTGGACTATTAATTAAAACTGTAAAACATAATGTTTTTATATATTTTTTGTCACTTTATCTGGGGGCAGTGTCCCCACCAAGTCTAGCGCGAAGCAACACTGCCGTACCATCCCTTTCTGAAACCAATTCGCCGCATTTTCAGGCCCCTATCTGAGAACCTCTGTAATCTAGTAATAGCTATAATCACACACTTGAATCCAAAATTTCAAGTAGGTAGATCATTTAGTTCCGAATTTAAGCGAATGCAAAGTTTCGCATTTTCATCACTGACTCACTGATCAAATTGAACTGATATTTCCCATTGTGGTGAAAATATAATAATAAAAACATTGCGGTAAAGAACCTTAGACTTGGCTCAACTTTGTCTAGAGATTTCACTACTTTTAGAGATAAACAAGCAGCTCCATCGAGACTTGGCTATTTTTATATAGACTGTTTTTGATGGACCCCCCCCCCCCCTATCGCCAAAGCTGGATCCGCCAATAGTTCAAGAATTATTTTTGAATTAAATATAATACATGTTTTTGAATACATAACATGAAACTTCAACTCACCCTGGTGATACCATCGGCATACGCATTAAAGGTCTCGCTGGAGAAGCCTCTGATGCTGATGTCCAACAGGAAGTCTACTAGATGACCACCGGGAGCGCTGTGCGTATGTGTGCCAGCGATGATAACGTTACTCAGGCTGTACATATCGCCGTACAGCTCTTGCAGGTTGGCCACAACCTGGGAAAAACACTCAATTGAAAGACTGTTACGTTAATCTACCAGAGTAGTTCAAAAACATCACTAGTAATAGTTAAATAAATATAATATACACATCGCTAACACAAATTCTGACTTTAATTTTCTAAATATTCAAAAGTTGAGTTTATGTATTTTATACGATCTCCAGTAGTAAAGGTAAGTGTGAATCACTAAGTTGACCACAGTCCCAAACTACATGGTTCACTACAAACCATATTACGAAAGGATTCCCTTGGCATAACTCTTATTCCTTTGTAATAAACAGCACTGCAATCCGAGGGGCCCCTTTTGTGAAATGAACTTTAATATATCTCCAGATCTAAACTTTTTATCGTATGGTTAAGCAGCCAGCTTCCAACAACCATTGTTACTCACTGTCAAGCGGTAAACTCGCAATGTAACAACATAAACATTTAAACTCTGCTTTTACTTAACCTATACACACAGCACATTCATTGGTCTAATTTATTGCTCTTTCAAGCAAAGTTAAGATTCGTATTATATCGATATTGTATCGTAGACAAGATTTGCCTTTACCTGCCCTCGTAATGCGATGCCCACAGCTTGGATGTCAGTGGTGACGAGCACCACTCTGGTGTCACCGCTCACAAATATGAATGCTCTGGAGAATTGCCGTAAATGTATACCTCTACCGGTCTGACCTACCTCCGCGTACCCCATCTGTAAACATACACACACCAAAGGCATTGAAGAGAATATATCACATCACACAGTATTATCAGTAGAGTACTGCCTTGCTATTTATGTATATGTCCTTGGCATATTCTTAGTTTGGGGAATTGGTCCAGGAATTGTCATACAAGTGGAGGTTAAACTAAGACCGTTATCCATCTAAGATTCAAGAGCGTCCTGGCCAAGATAAAACACAATCTGTCGGTAAAATTATACGCTGTTTTGTTACGCATTATTCGACTATAAAGCGATCAGTGACCGTTAGATATATCCAAGTTTTACGTACAAAAACCCACCTTAAAGAAATTGTAAGCGGTAAATCTACAATTTGCCTACTGTGCAATCTTAGGTTACAACTTTGAGATACTCTTGTCAGTTATCACCGTGCCAGTCCTTACACGACATCAGAGTGGAAAGTGTTAGTTTTACAAAGGTTAACGTTAACACGTTCACTAGTAAGAATTTGTAAGATTTAACACGGTGCCGGATTCCATATTATAATATTAACGCGATCGACGGTGAACTTAAACGTCGGAAAAAAATCATTTCGAACTTTTACATACGAAATCTGGGGTTTTTCGAGTTCGCCATCCTAATTTATGGATAGTCTATTTGACTCATGTAATTATTTGGTTTTAAAACATTATCACTTCAAAATGAAATAACACTCACAAAAGTAATTTCCACACAGGGCCCCGTCATGTCAGCTATCCCCACCCCTACTCTATAGCGCATATTCCCATCCTCAGAGGGTACTACGGTTGTTGGTGGTACTGTTGGGACTTCTGCGTTATCTGTCACTAGAAAATATATAAGAGTGGCCATACCACCCAACACACCCAGAACCACTACTGTTATTACTATTTTTCCAGTCAATGAGATCGCCATGATATCTGAAACAAATTATAATTTCGTACAGATTTATAAAGCTAATACAAATTTAAAAAATGACTGTGTAAATAAAGAAATACCGAGAATATTAGGGCAGATGACTGAAAAATGATTAATCATGTGTTATGGAAGAGTACTCATGTTTGCACACACCCCAAAGGGAATTAGGATTGGAATCGGGTGGACAAATAGTGAAAGTATAAGTACTTACTTAGTTCTTTTTAATCTAATTTATTTACCAAAAGTTCAGTTGTCTCTAATAAAGTAATATAATTGTAACGAAGCGAATTATGACTTGAAAGTAACATCTGCATATAACTATGTCCTATTGTAGCTTGCTGCCTACAACACTCTTACATTGATGATGTTCTATTGTATACTGGACCACATAAAAATGCCACAGCACCCATCTATCAGACAACGATCAAGCACAACATAATGTACTTCGTAAAGTAAATTTTCGACATTAATCCGACCAGAAATCAAAGTCGGCGCATCACAATTGAACATTCAAGCGTAAAAATAATTTAATCTATGCATATTTTTTTATAATAACCAATCCGAGTCTTTTCCCGTCCATTTCAGCTTCTTCACATAAAATTCTTTAATATTTCACGATATTCAATTCTAGCATTATAACAGATTACACATTTTAATATAACAATCACAAATCTAAAATATTATGACTATATAAATAGTAAATATGCACTTACTTTTTTATTTTATAAATTAACTAATAACTAAAGTAAATACAGGCGTGCTTTGGGCAGACCCAAACGCAATATAAGTTGCCACAATATGATCAATCAATGGGTTTGATAACAACCTAATAATCTATTTTATCTATTTAACCAAATATCTTCTTGATAACTATAATTATTAAGTATTTTAATATGTCAGCGGATTATTCGATTAAGCGAAGTATTAAGAAAATATAATAAGATATTCCCCCTATTCAATTCTACGTATAGGGAAGATCCAGGTCTTAGTCCAGCTGTGAAATATTCACAATATGTCGATAAATTACTACTTCAAGAATAAACGTGTTTTTTTTTTATTAATAAATTTAAGAAAATCATCATCACCAGCCTATTGATATTGGAATCGATTAGGAAAAACGAGTCATAATCCACTACTCGGGCTCTACGAAATGATAAAATTAAATACTATAAAAAACCGGAACTTTAGACAGTCGTTGCCTGAATACTGGCAAATTATTATTAAAATAAGGTTTTCAATAAAAACTATTCAATATATTATTAATCAAGTTTCTTCACCTACCCTACCCCATGATTCCCAGACATCGCATCGCAGACCGAACGCACTAACCATCGAGTTCTAGACGTCATAAGTAGATATGTACACTCCCTTTTCTAATCGAGACTTAAAGGGTTGGTGCATATCTGACGAAAGATACGTCTTGTCTAACGATGACAAGGAAAAGGATATAACGACTTGTAAAGTTTTATGGACTTCATTATAAGTTAACTGCTCGTCAGACTATACAAAATTTGACATATTGCGATGATCTTACGTGCAGCCGTGTGTACGTAATTCTATTTATTGCGCTGCCAGACTGACGTTAGCCCAGCAGCGTCACTAAGACTCGATTATTTCCGAAATTACATAACTTGACTATTTGTTTTTGTAACAGACTGATAAATAAGGGACTAGATGGATCAAGAATTCATTTCAAAATCGAAGGTGGCGCTGCCAGCCTGACACACTAATGTATGTAATTTGAATTTCATTTTAACAAGAATCAATTTTTTAAGGAAAGTTCAGGTATTTTTTCGAGTGCCTTATAAACAAAACTTTATTTGAGTATATTAACCCATTTATTACTTTATTTAAATAAGCATCACTTTGAATTCTAGCAAAGAAAAAAAATGGAACCGACTTCAAATTTAAAAAAGTGGAAAATAATACTTATCTTAAAAGCGGTTAAGTTTTTTAAGAAACATTGAAGTCGGACTAAGGTTTTCTGTAGTTAATTAAATATTAACCGGCTGACTTCAATGTTTCTTAAAAAAAATACCGCTTTCTAGATAAGTATTATTTTTAAGTTTTTATTTCATGTTTATAAGTAATATTATGAGTTTTGGGGTAACAAACATCATGCATACTCAATACAAATTTAACTCTTATATGGTTTTCTCATAGATGCCATTGCCAGATCTATCAAGCATTAGCTTTCAAATAAATAAAGAATCATCAAAATCAGTCCACTCAATAAAAAGTTATGAGTATCAAACAGAAAAAAATACAGTCGAATTGAGAACCTCCTCCTTTTTTTAAAGTCGGTTAAAAAACAAACTCGTTAACGCATGAAGGACAAACATACCTAATTGAAGTTTAAATAAAACAAGCGAAAAGTTTCAAATTAACATATTTATTTGAAACGATAATTCTATATAATTTATACATTATCATATCATTTGTTATGCGTAATCTATTAATTTATTGATATAAAGGTCACTATAATACGCACTGACACTAGGCAAGATTATTATACTCAGTATATGATCCAAGTACAAGTACACTAATTAATTAATATTTGTATCAGCTTCATACTCAAATGTATCTTAAAATCAATCATCTTAGCGCACATAAAAACAGGCCCGGATCTACGATTTTTTTTAACCGGGGCTTAAACGGGGGGCTTACCGGGGGTTATTAAGAAAATTGTAATGCTGTAAAATATGCAAATTTGTCGTCATTTTACTATAAAAGTCACTTGGAATTATACCGGTGCAAATTTGAGCCTTATTCTACTATAAAAACAGCCTCGAATACGACGAGTCCAACGCTGTTCAGCGGTTCAATCGAATAAAAACTACTTGAAATACAGAATTGCATCGCTAGCTAGACTCACCAAATCAAGCTAAATTAACCCATTTGAAAAATTAAAACAAGCATTACATAGTAAAGAATCTAGTTATTTATCTGTAAATATTATTAATCCTTAATAATTAACAATGTTATCTCTTTGCTAAATTAATCAGATTGTACACATATGTATTTCGTCAACAACTAAGTACCTACCTATTGTCTTAATAAAATTTTATTGTGACCGATTGCGTTAAAATCCATCAACGTTCTGATTGTAGTGCCAAAACATAATTGTCATTACAAATCAAAAAAAAGTTAAATATATACAGATATCACATAATATTGCTCAGATTCCAAAATAAGCTGCCAACCCCTCGTATTATGGGAGTATCTGAAACAACGCAGGTAGGTACCCATAACACCTAGACCATAGACAATATGGAAAAGTTCATTTTCTAGATTGACCGCATTGGAAATCGAATCCGATACCTCAGATGTCAACGCCTTAAAACCGTTGTACGAGAGACTCGGCTGAAGGTATTTTGGCATACTTTTATATAAATAAACAAATAACATTTATTAAATCTGGTCAGCACGAAATAAATACATTTTTTTTTTGCAATAAGCAACATTTAAAATTATATTATTATGGATATCAACCAATTATATTAACATCAAATTTGACAAAAAATTCAAAACAAAGAACCTAACATGAGACATCACAAACAGATAAAATTTATACTATAGTATAGAACTGACGTTATAGTAGTGCCAAAATCTTACAAATTAGTGTGTTTATGTAAAAAAATTTATATATATATAAGTATAACCCCGAAAATGCAAAACAAATATTTGTATGACTATCATACTCTATCATAATATTATATATTTTATATTTTTCCTATAATAAGGGACCCAGCTCTTCCATTAATGCAAAAGTATACATATATATTAAAACTACCAATTTCAATAAAAAAATAGTACTTCAAACAAAAGACTAGATTACACATTTAATCAGAAATCAAAAAGGAACTTAATGTAATAATATAAATTTTGATTAAAGAAATAATTACCAACCTACTAGGTACAGTCAACAACTCATCAGGTCAAACTGAAGATTCTTCAGTAGATCCTTCATAAGATGCAAACTATTAGGGGCCGTCCATTAATCACGTGAGGCTCCGAAGGTGGCGTAGTAATATATCACGTGTATTTATTTTTCCCTCAAATGCGCTACTAAAATTAAGTTTTTTTTTTGTAGGTAGTCTTAAACTTTACCATGTATCACCCAAGGGTGAGGAGCGCGGGGTTAAAAATGCTGAAATAAACATCACGTAATTAATGGACGTCCCCTTACGAAGACTTGATAAGATGTTACATGTATTTATTTTTGTATAGTATCCTTATCCTTAGTTGCTGATGCTTAGCAAAACTAATTCCATTTCTCGAGTATCACAGTCAAACTAATCATTATAGATTCAACAATCACCAACATTGTTTAAAATATTTTGCCATAATATTGTTATTGTAATCCACATATAATAAAGCACTCACTATAATATGAGCGAAAAATAAAAACACCCTTTTTATATTTGAAGTTTGCTTTAAATAATAATTCCCTTAAACACCCTTGGCCTCATTTTCTGACAAATAAGTTATGTGTAACAGTTTTTAATAAATAAAGCATAATTCGACATGGGAAAATCGCAATAAATAAATTATTCTCATGAATTGCTTCTTATTTGGTCAGACAAATATTATGGCAACACTGTTCCATATTATATCTAACATAAACATACTAACTAAAAATGGCGTCGGCAGTCTTTCATAAGCTTCCAAACTTGGCTAACAGTAATTATGTGACTTCAAAGGAATCTGTGAAGCCATGGTACGGGTAGATGCCGCCGAGAATATACTTATAGTTCCCGTAGTGATGAATACGGTACGTGCCAGGTGTGGTTCCTTCGGGGATTTCCCACTCAACTTCAGCTTCACTAGTGCCTAATATCTTGGAGTTACGCTTCCACACGTATCTGAGGGAAACAATTTGTTATATATTAACTTTAACTACATTCTGACTTCGCTATTTATAATATTACCTACAAAGACATCTCGAAGAATGTTTACACAGATATGGCACAGGCACAGAGCATGCTCTTTATACAATTCTTTCTCTTCGTTGAAATTCAAGGACGAGTCTTACCTACCAGATAATTAAAGAGTGTGTAAAAAGAATATGAACTTCAAAGAAACGAATGATGTTTATATTTTAGTGAAATTGTAGCTCATAATGAAACCTGCATTAATTAGATACTTTGGAGGACTATTAATCGAAAGAAATATATATAAATAACTGTTTATTTAATGCTAAGAATCCAAATGTATGTGTTAATTAATTTCTTACTTTTGCAAGTAATTTGATATCCGCAATTCATTATTTGTAAGTAATTAGTCATTATTCTACAAGTGCGATTTTTCTTTTTAATGATTTCAAAAATCTTGACTTTGTTCATGTACTCACTTGGTTTCCCAGTCGGCATCTGTAGCGACTGTTGTCCACGCATCGTCCTCTTCAGATTCTAGACGTTCCACCGTCATGTACGTCCGTCCGTGCCTGATGCTGTTACGTGGATGACCAGACACCTATAAGAAAGATTTTAAAAATGCCCATTAAAATATTATTTAAAACTTCAAATTAAAATATTGCTTATAGGTAATATAAATAAGGTGATGTACGTAATTTGCAATTTGAAAAAATCAAATCGTTATAGTTTTTATACACTGCGGATCTTGGGGGATCTCTCACACTCGTTGCACATCGCAAAGTTAGGACTATTTATTTTTAGTTTTAACTAAAGAGATCTTTAAAATGTACTATATTCTATTAAAAATTCAAAATATCTTGAGAGCTACAAAAATTTTCAAAATCCAACCGCAATCCTGATAAGAAAAATCAAAAACTGCAACAAAATCGCAATATTTTCCAATGAAAATCGGGCCTTTTCTCCAGACTTTTGATTTTTTCATCTGGTAACCCTACCCTCGTATGATTAAGTTTATTATATGTGAAAGAATTTTCATGATCAGATCAGTAATTTTGAAGGTTACCCCCTCCAAAAATACATTTCCATCCACAAATTCGCGGGAGGACAGCTAGCTATTTATTGTTAAAAAAATGTAGTGGTCTTTTGGTCGACTCACGAAGGTGGCGGTGACGGTGTCCCCGAGGCTGTATCTGGGGCGTGGCTGCAGCAGGCAGTCGCCGAAGTCCCGCCCCCACGGCGCGGCGTCCCACAGCACCGGCGGCACCAGCGTGATCAGCTGCTCGCTGAAGTCCGGTGGAGAAGGACCTGGTTCCACAGGATTACCCTGCATACCAATTGCTCATACATTCATAACGACATCAGTATATTAAAACCATGTTCTACGACTGCTTGACATCCCCAAGCCCGAAGAACAGATCGCACAAGTCAGTTCTAAAAATCCCACCTAATGTAAAATGTGGTCAAATACGATTAAAAAAGATCTGTTTCTTAACAGACTAAGGCATTTGAATAAGTTTAGCAATACTTAATAATAATCTGAGAGAAAGGGAACTCATTGCACCTAAAAATACCAAAATACTTTGAAATGTAACTAATCTTTTTTATAACCTCGGTTATATTATTATTGTTTTGCACAAAAATCGAATTATATATTTCATTTCCCCAAGGAAGTTCTTCGGCCCTCTACTTCTTTAATGCTCTTTTGTAATAGGTAATGAATCGTAATTTAATTTAATATTCTGTATCAAAACTTACGCTTATCAAAGCCTCTGTTAGTTCTTTGTATTTATTGAGGTAGATCTCCAAAGTATGAGGTCCGAATATCGTAGACGCGGCTTCATACCTTTGACCCTAGAAAATATAAAACATATTATAATGAATAAAACATAATCATGTTAATTCTTCGCACTGATTAATATCTTCAAAGATATTTCGAAAAAATCAAACAATCTCAAAAGTTATGGGTTTTTTAGGTAATTAAATTAGATTTGAGTTTAAATACATCTAAATTTCAATAAAAAATACATTTCTGGGCACCCCAGAAATGTAGTTAAGCCAATTTTTTAATCTCCTTTATTCATATTTTATAGCAGTCAATTTATAACAATTTTGAATTGAAAAGAAAGAAACGAAAGCGAATGAAGAATAATGAAATGAATATAACTCAAATGATGAATAGAGAGGTATTCATCTTTCATTCATTCATGTCTATTAGCTCCACCAACATTTGTTTACATTATTTCTTCCATATACTATAGTAACTAAATGTAACAAACATCATCATCAGCCCTTTATTTTGTCCCCACTGCAGGGGCTCAAACCTTCCTTATTTATGGTCTAATACGGATTGAAGGGTAAAATGTAACAAACATTTAAGCATAAAATGGGCCACCTGGCGAGCGATAGGATGTGGGCCCTCTCATCCGCACGAGGAATGAGACCGCGAAGTCGCCGGTATCGGTGTTCACCTGGTACTCCTCGTAAGTGGCGATGTAGTCGGAGTAGAGGTTGGACAGTCCGGCGACGATGACGCGCGTCGTGGCGGCGGCGGCGGCGGCGCGCGCCAGCAGGCGGCGCAGGCGGCGGCCCGCCATCGTGGTGAACTCGCCCGGCACCGCCGCCACCAGCACGCCGCCCACGCGCGCCACGCTGCACGACACCACGCGCGGCTGCCACTCGTACGGAAACTTCATCTGATACCAGAAGCAAACTTGTTTATTCAAGCTCTTACAGAGCACTTGTGAATGTCGTAAACTACGCCATCGGTTCGCAAAACTACGGCGGGAGACGTTGTACTGAGGAGAACCGGCAAGAAACTCAGCCGAATCGATTACTTGTATTATAGACAACGTCGCATATATTGCTCAGAAGTTAAACAAATTATAAATATGAGATAACATCACATACATTGCACAGAAACCAAGGAGATATAAATATTTATATCAATTTTGAAATTTAAAAATATATAAATGGGCATAGTAATATTAATTTTGAAATTTTAAAATAATTCTTTAATAAACTAAGATGACCTTATTAAAGGTAATCTAGACCGAATAAAAAGTATAAGTTTTATGTACCCGTCCGGTGGCGAGCAGTATAGGTTTGGGTTTGTGGCAATCGATGTCTTCGGGCGTAGGTTCGGCAAGGAAGTCTCGGACGGCATTCCACAGTGGATTGCCGGAGATCGTGCCCTGCTTGAAGTCGAATAATCCTGGACCATCAGTGGTGCCTGCAGCGAAGCTGTACCCCATGCTGGGCACACACCCATTCACCACAGAGCTCTGGACGATATGCAACATATAGTTATTGTAAATTCTAGAATCTCAAAGGCGTAATTTTCTTCCATATTGCATGGTCTAGAAATACCTCTTACGATTTCTCCATTTTCGTATAAAAACGCCGGTTTAAGTTACTCTTGATCTGACAAGTTTGGTCGTAGTACGTAAAGGGAATACTAACGTTAATATCTGATTTTTTTTTAACAAACTTTCATTCATTCTATCAATGTGACATTCATGCACCTTTTTTTCAATTTTTGACGCTACTACTTTTCTCTTAAAACTGTGTAACTTAATTACAATCATTCTTCTCAATGCTAATTTAATAATAATTTCTACAACATTTAATCATAAGAAAATATTACAGGTCAAACACAGATTCACCATTGATAGAGCAATGTAGATAAATTGTAATAGGCTTATAAAGAGTGAATTCTTCATAGGCAGTCATACAAATTCTTTCCTATTTCTTCGATCATCTGTTAAAGAAGTTCTTTTCTTACCATATTGAAGGTATCAGTGAGTGGATCGTAAGCATAGGCTTTTTGGTCAGGCATAGACACGAACTGATGCACCATCCCCACCGGCCCACTAGTCACATCTTCACCCGGCTGTTCTAGTGCTTTCTACAAAAAAAAGAAAAAAAATAACCTTCACCCAATTCAATAACCGTAATCAAGCAGTTACTTGTTTTTACTTTTCTAAGAAGTTACGCTCTAAAAAATTATATTACAGATACAAACAGAATAAACAGTATGATGTCCACAGATAAACTTCCAATTATAGCATTTTCATACACAGCTTAGCAAAAAACTTGAAATTTTTTTTTCATATTTTTATGGTAGTAGAAATATCTATTATATTTAATACCGGTCAAAATTTGCGTATTAGATAGCTTATGCATATTTCTACGTTCTAGCTACGTTATATTTAGAGACAATCCACTAAAAAAAGTTCAAAATCTTGTTAACACTATTCCAATAAGTATGTTGATAAATTACCATAGCTCCATCGAAAAGTTTGGTGGCAATCATCCTGGTACTATCGAACATATCTCGCCCAGGACCAGACGCGAAGCATCTCTCCTTTCCTGAGCATACTAACTTGCCCTGGTCGCACACAGCACGTGAGAACTCGCACCGCGGCCCGCGAGTGTTGGGAGATACATCTCCTAAGTTAGTCGATGCGAACGCACACACTATATTACCCTGCAATAGATCAAAATTATCATTATCTTCCTAACTCTGTACTTTTAAAATCGCCATTTTTTGATATATTATGAACTAGCTCTTTTTTCTCTTCAGGCTACAACCTAATCGAAGTATATGAACGCAAGATTCTCTATTACATATATCTATATATCTTTAAATCGACATTCAATTATATCGTAAACATATGCTGCAATGAAAAAATCAATTGTATTATTATGGTGAGGCACAGGCCTTACCTATATGACATATCGCAACTTACACTTCTTACATTTAATGTTTTGTTTATTATTTACCACATCCTTACCTTACCCGGCTGGGTGTTGTTCCCGTTGAGAGCTTTCTCCATCATCACGGATGCGTATCCCACGTTGTCGGAGGATATCAGTCGGTTAGTATTATTCATGCTGGTGGGATGCACCGCGAACCAGTTGATCACCCCGATGATAGAGTTGGAAGGGGAGAGAAAACGCAACTGCGCAAGATTCTTATCTACATCGTATTTGTACCTGGTGACGTCGTTATCATCATCAGTCGAATAATATTGGGAATATCCTCTCCATCCTTTAGTCTTTTAATGGAGAAAAACGTAGAAGGAACGGGTCATAGTGTTAACGGCTGTAGATGCAGCCGAGAACAACGACTTGACGTGCCTTATGAAACACGAATTAGCTCAAAATAATAAATATTTGTTCACTTATCTGTATGATAACTTGCGGAAATGATTTAACCAAACCTAACACGCTCATTGAACATCTTCACCCTCTCAACATGGATCTCATTTATTTGCTCTTGTGAAGGTATTACAACTTTCCCACACGGAAAATATGAATACTTGATCAATCAATCAATAGGAATATTGATAAGAGTAAACTCTTAAAAGTCTCTCGGGAAAGTTCTCTTCGGGAAAGTTGTTATACCTTCACAACTTTTCTAAATCAAAATAGCATAATCTGAACAGCTCAATTTCCAAATCTCAGGAAGCAGGTACTACTCGAAATGTTTTTTAAGTAAATCGAATTTATTGTATGTAAAGAAATAATTACTATTAGCTATCAAATAATTTATTTGTAGTCCTAAATATTCTAACCAGATTTAATAAAATATTCTAGAACTAAAGGACATACTTAGCTCTTTCCTCGGGCGGATTCAGGAGATATGAAGTCGGTGACCTATTTATGTTCGCACCGAGAATTTCTACTTCACTATATTCCATTCGAGCTGGCGCTAGTTTATTATGAGCCATAACTATACTCTGTAACGAAAAAAGTAAATACAAGAATGTACTTCACACTTCAGAACTCCATTTAACTAACTATTACACAGTAAAATTTAATAAATCTTTTATCTATCAATAAAAAAGCAAAGTGATCAGTAAGTTCTTGGTTCGGAAAGAACTTTTTCGTCTACATTCGGAATTTTTATCTATTCATAATCCCGTGAAATACAACGGATTCCTTAGGTGGTCAGAAATAGAACAAGATGGCAACAATGCAGGATATATTACATATATCTTTCACTTCTTGGATATTGTTACACGTTCACTGGTTTGAAATTTTTGCCATCATCCTCCGACAAATATACCATAAATGATCGTTGAACCAAATTGTATACCTTAAAAATGCCAACGATATAAGCAGCGTACGTCTCCTTTACAAACCCTAGGATGGGCAAATCAAATAGGAAATCCATTAGGAACCCGCCTGGCGTAGAATGAGAATGTGTGCCGCTTAGGATCACATTATCCTCAGTATACGTGTCTCCGTAACGCTTCTGAAGCCTTTTCAACACCTGTAAACACGAAAGGCCTTATTTATTTTCCAAACATTAACATACATCTTCAAACAAAATAAAATTAAGTGGATGAGCTGCTGGACTCAAGATTTAAAAGGGACTGAGGTATGTAAGGTAATCAAATATAATAATGGACTGAGGTATTATATTTGGGTTCCAAGTTCTGTTTGATGCATTATATAAACTGAAAATGATGCAATACACCTGTTATTGGCAGTAAAGATTCATAATACAAATGTTTTTGAAGAGTGTGACGTGTCTGATTAACCTCGCATTGCCTAAACCTCTACTCAATTCCTAGAGGTTAAGAACGTTGATAATTTATGAGAAGAAGCATATTAACTGAATCATGCTTTATCAATCTGCTGTTGTTTTTGCTCCGTTAATTATAAAATCAATTCCATTGTGTGTTGTCAATTAACAACTCCTTTGTTAGTTTTATGTGACCATAAATAGACTTTAGATAATAGGTAATTGCCATTTAAAGATCGATTCAGGATGGACTTCGTATCCATTCGTAGAGTAATTCATTGTTTTGAATATATCATTCAATACTTCCGACCATATTCCGACCTAACAAATAAATCAGCGCAAATTACTCACCGAGTGCAATGACTCAATGACTATAGCTTAAATAACTAGATAAATAACTAGATACCCTTATGATTTTAATATTCATGCAACAATAAAATGGACCGTGTTTATCGCACTGTTGAATTTATAAACTAAATACATGCGTCATGAAACCTTCATCAGCTAGTGCACTCTGTCTGAGGTAATTGGCAAATGATTATATAGTCTAGCTGACCCGGCAGACGTTGATTTGCCATATAAGTTTGTGACCACCTTTATCACTTAAGGGTTAAAAAATAAATAAGAACCTATTCTCAGACCAACAGAAGATTCATATAAAATTACGTCAAAATCGGTCAAGCTGTTTTAGAGGCGTATGGTTTTTTTTTTTTTTTTAAATGCAGGTTCCCCCACTTTTGAGCAGATTGTGAGGCGTATGGTTACTAAAACGAGACACGACAATTTTAAATATTATTATTAATTTTATTTTAAATAATATTAACTATGCACAGTTTTGCTTTCCAACCATATGAATAAAGCACTTTTTTCTTCTTTATTCTAAAGGTGTACGTGGTACTTTTGTTTTTAAACGTATCGAAAATCGAGCTATATTAAACTGTCAATTGAATTTGAAAGATTAACTTATTGTTCGTAATCATTCGCTGCTTATGGAACTACGTTATTTTATAAAATTTGATGACGAAAATTCAATGTGACGTCAATAAAAATGAGTATTAAAATACACATACTATACTAGTTATTCTACTTTACTTGCATATAAGTTTTTGCTCTTGGAACTTACTATTAGAATTTTATAGAACGTTACCTCTTTCCGAACCCCGTTGCCCATCATGGCGGCATCAACACTGACGAAAACCACCCTCTGCAACGTGGACTCGTCCTCCATCACGAACGCCCTGGCGAACTGCCTTAAGTGGATTCCATGACCAATCTGCTCAAAGTTCGCGTACCCCATCTGGAATGGTTTCATTTTCTAGGAAAAATCTGTTGGATACATAGTCACAATAAATAAAATTATATGTATGATAACATAGTGTAATGACGTATGGTCTATTGTTGTGGGTTCTGCGGCTTGTATTTAAGATATTTTTATTCTACAAAAGAGAGCTGTCCGCGCTATATATACACTTTACGGTCTAGGGAATCTCTCAGAGAAATATTTAAAGAAATAAATATTTTGACTGTTGCCTCTCAATACATCTATGAAAATATTATGTACGCAAGTAAACATTACGATTCCTTCACAAAAAAAAAGTGTTCATAATCTTAACACAAGAAATAAAAATAAACTTGCCTGACTTCAAAAAACCAGAGGATAATTTCTGGGCATTGCTATGTTCAATAAAGTTCCACAAAATGTAATTAATTCCCATAAATAAATTTCGAATTCATGTAAAGACCATACTTATAATTAAAGACTATTATAAAGTTGATTATTATTTTAAGGATCGCAATGCATGGAATTAATAGGCTTCGCTTTGTTCTATAACGACTAATTATATGTACAACCTATGACCTCCAGACTTTGAAAGTTGTCTTTATTATTGTAATAATACATATCGCTCACTGATTACTACAGTGGCACAACTCAAAAACCATTATTTCGAGAAAACGCCACAACATTGTGATGGCATCCCATAGATAATTTAAAGAAAAAATAAAAAACTTAACAGTTATAATATATTACAAACGATTTAACTGTTATGCTAAAAAAATGATTTTCATAATTATAAATATATTAAATTTTCATAACTTCGGAGAGCGTTTCTCGAAATATGGTTTTTGAGTTGTGCCACTGTAGTATTCAGTGAGCGATATTATTTTGGTAATGACATGATTTATGTAAATGTCATTACTTATGATAAAGACCTGGTAAGTCTCTTTCGCTTGTTCTTCTTGTCAGCTAAAAGACGTCCTGAACAAATGGTAAGGGAAAAAAAAATTTTGGACGATTCAAAAGTGCCTGTAATAAGCTTACTTGAATAAAGATATTTTCATTTCATTTCATCAAAAGTGAACATACGAATGTTAGCACAATCTAATAATGATTATAATTGAATAAATGAATCAAAACATACTCGTTCATTGAAACTAAACATAAAACATTTACAATAAGAACCGACATCGACGTGTCCATCATGTGCACGTTAGGAAATCAAGCACTGAGCAATATTATTATTGGGAAACGGTTGTGCCAGTCAGTCATTGTTTCGCCGATGAATGGTACAGTCATTATTCTGTTTTACATGGTGAAAATTAAGACATATTTAGTATGCATGACCCAATCAAAAGTCATCACAATTATCTGAGGAGCTCGATATATAGCGCAGTGGTTATCACACCTTTATCATCATCATCACAAGCGGTTTAATGTTCCCACTGCTGGGGCCAGCCTTTCCCTATGGATGGAATCGAATAGGGAGAATAGGCCGTGACCGACGCGGGTCCAGTGCGGATTGGTCTTCAGAAACACGGGAGTAGTTCAAGACAATAAATTTTTGGTCAATCATCCTATTGCCGATCATTACGAAAATCGCTTAACAACCGTATCGCAGACTGAGCACGCTAACCACTGCGCCATCGAGCTCCTCACACTAGCCTTAACGCTTGCTCGACATGATGTCTAGACGGCCGAGTCCCAGACCTTCCTAACCTCCCAAGCTAGTCAAAAGCGGTTCACTTCCTCGTCAAAACCCTCTGTTGTACTCTCTCACATAGTCTCGGTCCCGGTTACTGGTAGCTACCACGGCTGAAGGCCATGGAAGCCAAGGCCAGTAAAACCTTATGGAAAAAAAATGGTAGCTACCCCGTTAAGGCTGCGATATCCTCACAAAATCTAGTCTTCGTAAAATTTATAGCCATCAATATGCCTACTCTGTTTCTCCGAAAACAAAATGAGCCCTTTTCGAAATATGAATATAACTCTATATAATTGCATTTGTCGATAAATAAATGCATTTATTATACAACGGAGGTAGGACCTGACACTGCCTGCCTTTGATGGAAAGATAATCTTCGATGATATGATTTTAACAAAACGCTGAGAAAGATTTGTAAAAATTTCCGAAACTCGTCGTTAACTGCAGAAACGAACGAAAAACGACGCACTCCACACTGCCCCCGCAGTGAGTACATTTATTGTGGTGATGTAGCGTTAAAATAATACAATCTTCAAGGAGAGACAAACGGGTGGAATTAGAGATTGAATTTAAAAAAATGCCCGCTGTTTCTAAATTCCTTAACCTAAGACCTTTCAAAGTCAAAATTGTGTTTATTCAATTTGAATAAGACCTTCGTAACAAGGCAGATGTATATGACTTTTTGAATAAATATTTATTTACTGCATAAGACCCGCGTCTACATAAATACCAGTATTTTGGATTTTATTTTTATAATGAAAATTTTTGTAATAATAATTTTCGTGGGGATAAATCAACTGTATTTCTTGATTTTTAACTTGACCCCTATCAAATTGATGTCATGACTTTCTCGACAGTTTTGATATTAAAATTAAATATATAGTAACATTATTATATATTATAAATTTTTGCATTTACAATGCTATGCTAGAAAATATTCTTAATGAAAAATGCTTAAAAGATCCACTTTATCCCATCTCAGGGTACCAGGGACAAGGTGGATTTTTAAGCATTATTCATTAAGGATTTAATAACATTTCAATTCTTACAAGAGGAATTATTAAGGAATCTCATGTTTATAAGAAAGTTTATCTTTCTATCCACAGGTTGTCTGGAAAGGATTGCTGTATAGTGATAAGACCGCTGAGCTCGAACATATTTCTATACCTTATTCGATTACAGACGTTCAACTACAAATATTTGTTTAAATTATGCTTAAATGTAATGTAAACGGTCAGCATTTCGGTTGTATTAAAACTCCTTGGAACGTTCCCTTCTTTGCCGTTAGTTAGACATTCTTTTTTTAATTTTCTCTTTATCTGTAGTAAAACTTCCTCTTTTATAGGCATCTACGTCAATAAATTTAATTCAAACAAGATACTAGCCATTCATTATAAAGACCCGTCACTCAATGTCAACATACTCTGTTAATTATTGAAGTAATATCCTGGTTAGAAAAGTAAACAAAACTTTTGCTTAAATAAATTCTTAAACTGCGTTTATAATTTGACAAATGTTTACTTTGTATTCGCACCTAAGGATTAACTTGAATTTTACATTTTATTAAATAGCAACTAACTAACGTTTCATTAATAGGAATAATCAACATATTGAGTATTAAGTAGCATATAAATGCCCCCAGTGATGGAGTTGTGTAATGATGGCACTTCAATGGCGTTTCAATTAATTATATTTTTCCACTGCATTATTTACTTAACGCCAAATATTAATAGAATAATATCGTCTTGATGAATCAATAATGACATAATGACAGATTTTTAAATTTTGTAATATATTAGAAGAATAAAAAATGTGCCATATGCACGTTATAATTACGTTAATATTAGCGCATCTAATTATGTAATAAAATCAGTTGTTGATGACATATAATTAATTTATATTGATTTGATAATGGCATAATTTTTGTAAATGTCTACTTTCATTAGAACTGATTAGCTTCTCGCTCGTTTATATTATTATCAGTCAAAAAAGTCCTGTATTAGTTGTAGGGAAAAATATTGAAAGATTGAAAAGTAGGTTTTCTTAATAAATTTATTTGATTAAAGATACACAGACCTCCTTTGGAATGAAGAAATGAGTAATTAAGAGACTTGAAAGATAGCGTCGGTGTTAAAATCATCAAAAACATGTTCCATTGGTTCTGACATGTAGAAAGAATGCCGGATGAGAGAATGACAACACTGATATACAACGCGAAGTGGAAGCAGAAGCCGAGGAAGGCCACACACCTTTCACGATCAAATCAATCGCGTGCTGTTAGAAGGTGATGTCGGAAGAAATAAAAACCGGCGAGTATGTTTGAAAAGAGTAATGAAACTGAATGATGTATGTAAGGTACCCGACTTTGTGGCGTTCGATCCTCTCTACCTATAAAAATAGAAGATATAGATAGATGAATAAGATTATTTTGACTTTGACTTAGACTGTGGCTGTATCCCACAAAACGGACCAAACAAAAGGCTTATGTTTTTAAGATGCTTTTCATAGTATCGTATATTACACTGTATATTACAGTATGAAGCTAACCGGACGAATTGCCCAATCGAATATTTGCCCGGCTGTAGCCGACCTTGCCTGTATTTGCAACATTTTATAAGTGACTGGAAAAATATGGTTTACTCTACACATACAAGAGTCAATTTTTTTCAATATTTAATAATTATACTTTCTTAACTATACATCTTGATAACGTTTCCGATTGTAACCCGAAATATTAAAAATATGGGAAACTAACTTCTATAAAATTTAAAGAAAACTCAATCACAGCCCAAAGTACTCTGAGATAGGACTCGAATCCAGTCGCCCGGATTACGAAAGGTCGTGGGTTTAAGGTGACTTTTTAAGCATTTTTCATTAAGAATATTTTCCAGTGTCTTTTAGTACACGTACTAAAATTCCTTTACGAATGACCTCTCAAAGCGAGTTATACGATTTAGGTGCATTTCGCAAAAAATATTTTTCCTGCAACAACTTCCTATTTCCTGTAATGTTCGGAAAATAACGACAGCTATATTATACTAATGAGGCTATTTTTTCTTAACCACAGTAGGCATCCAGCTAAAAACCATATAGCAATAATCGAGTCAGCGATTTGTCGCTTATTTACAGAGGTCATCAAACTATCGACATACACAAATAAAGCGTGTGTTATACTTATTTAGCTAAGGCATAAGGAAAATCTGTGAAATTGTTATGATTTTAGTGAATTTTTTTTCGCTATCTATAAACACCTTAATATTTAACCTTGAAAAATACTTAAAAAGATATATTTTTTTTAATCGTCAATTTAATTACAGCTGCATGCATAATTTTC